ATTATTTTAAATCAAAATATGACATGGCAGGACAACACAATTTTAACTAATTAGGGTCATTTTGAAAACGAACTTGTAATATTTAGTCAAACATCTAACACAATTTAATTTAATAAATGAGTCAAGACGTAAAAATCTGAACATACTTGTGATAAAAAAAAACCTTACATGACTGTATAATACATGTACGATTAAAATTCAATACTATTTGAAAAAATAGTTTCACACCCATAATTATGGAATAAATAAATAAATAAATAAATCACCATAATTATGAATGATTAAGTGGATGCTTATTTCTATGATGCTTTCCTTTTTTTTCTATACAGATTTACTCTAACAAATTTACTTGAGACATCAGATGTCTCAAGTAATTGCCACCAGGCACTCTATGATATTGAGCTTAGCCCAAATGGAGAAGACAAATTAATCGAAAAACTAATCTTTAAAACTATAGATAAATTGTACAAATCTCCTAGAACTATAATTTTTTTTGCATATTACCTCCTGCAATAGAATTAATCCGTTTGAACCATTAGAAGTTTGCAAAGGAGGTTAATAAACTAATTGTCATTATGTGATTGTTAAATGTCTCATGAGAATTACTAAATTTTTTATAAGATCCCCTTAATTTTTTTTTTTTTTTAAATATTTGCATGTTGCCACTGTGATACAGCGTAATTAGATATTTTTATTATTCAAAGGATTTATGCAATGGCATTTTGGGATTTTCAAAAACTTCCAATGATTTTTCTATACGTTTCATAATAATAACTTCATGCAAGATGATACTTTGCAAAACTCTTATATTTCTAGTACAAGGATATATGAAAATATTCATGAGTTCGTTGAGGGACTATTTATTTATTTATTTTTCGAAAGTTTAAACACATATACGACATACTTCCACAATATTACACATATGGTTGAGTTTATTGAGTTGTTATGCAATTTAACCCAAAAGAAAGATGTGTACGTTATTTTAAATATGCTCTTTTTACAAGGTCGACGACATTGATTCATTTAAAGTTAGAATTAAAATAAATCTAATCTACCTTCAAGTTTAAAAGAAAATAATTTGAGGGAAACTAAAAATGCTATAAAATTTTATTATATTTTTTCCTCTATCTCAACATTCTATTTCAAAAAGGAAGATATCATTTAAACTAAGGTGTTGTATGATTACTTAATTCAGCCTTTAATTCTGAATGGATTATACAATTATCCAATTAAGTGTTTTTAATAACGCAATTTGAGTATCATTCAAAACGGTAAGTGTCACTTAAAATGGGATAAAATTTTAAGTGACAAAAACATCACTTGCTTAATGCTGAAAATTCAAAAAATATATATAAAAAATATATATTTTTTAAATATTACTTAAAATTCACCTTTTAAAATTTTCAATACTTAATTTTTAGTTTTATCAAAAAAACTCCGAATTCTTTCGAGAAATATATATATATATATATATATATATATATATATATATATATATATAATGCTTTTGGCATTGTATGCCATCATGCCATGGGTTTGCCTTAGTTATTTTGGTGCCATTTAATTCTATAAATGAAAAATTAATAGCCACAAAATGTTTTAAACACAAGGTATGTTACCAGTTACCAACATGTCAAACACTTGAAACCGCTAAAAATATTTCAGTTATATCAATATTAAGTGACTCCTGCACCGTCAACTATTAGGTGAACTTGGGGTACCCAAATAACTATCATCAAATAAACAAACAAATTGGCAAGCCACATGTGATTGGTTTTGGTGGCATACAATGACAATAGACTTAATTAATTTCACATGCAAATTTAATTAATTTCACACTATATATACGTGTGGTGTAGGCTTGTTTGGTAGGGTATCTATTAAAAAAAAAAAAAAAAAACTAAGAATAGTTTTCAATTTAACAGAAAATGGTCATGATTACTCGAGTTTAGATAGGGATTCATCTTTGAGGTTTGGTCAAACGGGTTATTTATAAAGGTATGGGTAATGGGCGAAGATGGTGATGGGTCATATTTGTTGATAGCTTCCACTCTAGAAGTGCTTTATATAATATTTATTTTTTAATAGAAGTGCTTTATATAAATCAATTTTTAATAACAATTATTGGAAGAGAAAAAATGAATGGCTGGAAGTTGTTGACAGATAAGGTAGCATTTTCCTTCCTAAAGTTCATTTTATTTAAGTAGTCTATTTTATTTTTGAAATATTAATCAGCTCTCAAAATAAATCAAAACTATATGAAAAAAATTAAAGAATTTATAACAAAGAAGAACAATGTACGGAATATATGTTTTGATTCAAGAGTATATTTGTGTAAATATATTGACTCTTATTCAAATTAGATTTATACGGTTTAGGTGCATCCTTATCAAAGAATATGCATCTATAAATATGGTGGTTGGTAGAGAGGGGTGGTGGTAGGAGGTTGAGAGGGGAGGGGACCGGGGGGTGATGGCATGGTTAAGACTTAAGAGGGTGGGGTGTAAGGCAGAGGAAATAGAGTGATAGAGATATAGAAGGGGAGATAAGAATGCGAAATAGAATAAATATAAGTGCATAGTTCAATAAACTCCCTCCAACTATTCGATTTTTGCAATAAACCCTTGACATTTTAAATTTAATAAAATGGTGCTCCTTAATATTAAATTAAAATGAATACAAACTCATTTTGTATAGTGTTGTTATAAAAAAATTTGATTTTTTTTTTAAATGGTGAGTCTATAAGAAAATAAAAATACTTTGAAATAATTTTCAAATTTTTCTTAAATTTTTATTTTCAAAAATAAAAAGAAAATATATTTTTTTTAGCTTTTCTTTTATTTTTATTTTTATGAAAACGAAAATACCTCGAAATAATTTTTAAAATATTTTTAAATTTTTATTACAGTTTCGTGATCTACGGGACTACGCCAAAGTCTATTCTCAGGTAAGTTAGATGATTTATTACATTTTTCTTGATATAGAGAGAAAAAGGCAATTATGGAACATGTCCTAACAAAATGAAAAAAAAAAAAAAAAAAAAAAAAAAATTGAAAAGTAAATATTTAGTGAAAAGAGCATAAGAGTGCATGCAAGGTCTTCGTAAAAGTTTTAAGGATTATTAGACAAAAAACAATATTTAAATATATAACACTGTGATTTCTTTTGCAATTTATCAAAAAATAATATTTAATACATTCCATCTTTCAATACTTGCACCTCACTTTATATAATTATTTTTTGGGCAAAATAAAATGATATCATTGTTACTTAACAACGCGATCACATTCCTTAGTTATCTAAAAAAAATAAATAAATAAAAAAACACTAGGTCACTTTGAGATTGTGAAAATCTCATCCATTAATTAATGTAAGTTGTTGGTAGGTGTGCACATTTAATAGGTATTATGTAAATATATATTGAATTAGAGGCATATTTGTACTTTTGTTTTATTAAAAGTTCATTTTAAAAATAAAATAACACAAAAGCTCATCACTTATAAATAAAGCTTCAAAAATTTAAAGGGGGTTTGTAACTTTGAAAATAATTTTCAAAAACTCTGAAAATAGAAAACAGTTTTCAAATAATAATGTTAGAAATTGTGAATGAAAATTGTTTGATTAGTCATCAATAGATGCCTTGGACTGAATAAGTGCGATTATTGGTTGGTTATGGGATGAAAAGATGTAACTCAAAATCAACATACATAACTATTCATGTGAACCATTGCAACCTATTGGAGTGGATGTGTCTATTGGTGAACAGACACCACGTGAACCATTGCAACCAATTTGAGTGGTTGTGTCTAATGATGAAGAGACACATATAAATAGTTGTGTCCAATGATAAAGATCGAGATATACTCAATCTGAAAAGAGCACGCTTAAAAATTACTTTTTAGTTTTTTCCAAAGGGTTGCACCCACCCGAAAAGACACCATATTGCAAATAGTTCATTTTCATTTTCTTCTATCTCCCTTTCTAGACTTGAACCAAACCCAAGTGGTTTTAAACCATAGGTTAAGTGGTTCAAGCCACTTTGACCCTAATCCAATTTCATCTAGCCATATTAAGATTGGTCCAAACCATTTGGTTCGAATTGTACCAAATTCAGCATTTATATAGTTTAGATACATTTTTGAGTCAGAGAGAGTATTACATGGAGGAAGTTCGCTATATCCACGAGTTTGTAGCACTGCTACTACTGGTGGATGTAGACTGTTGTATCCTGGAAGAAGACGTTACTGAGTCCGTTAGCATCATAGCGGGATGAACCTTTCTTAAGGACATGGTATTCAATACTAGTCTTGGTCCAGGTTCTTTATTTATTATTTATTATTTTATTTTGCGTATTTAATTAAATATATAGTTGCATATTTAATTAATTATTTCTTAACATATTGTTAATTATCTCATGGCATATTAGTATAAGGGCTGTTATATTTTAAATGTCACATGAAACATATATTTTACCAACAAATAATAAAATATTGTTATATGAAAATATGGCTTTTTATAACTGAGTTTTTAAAAAATAATTTTCAAAATACTGAACGAAACAGAGTTTTTTTTTTGTACAATTTTTCTGTTTTCTATTTTCATAGGTTCTTTTGTCATTTAAATGCATAATAATAAGACCAAATATATATAATTATGAAAAATGATTCTTGCACTGAATAATTAGAATGAATAGTGATACTTACATTACTTTGAAGTGAATTGCCTAATCGAATAATTTTTTAATTAATTATTTATATTAAATATAATTAAGTGGAGGGTTTTACTTTCTTATTTGTTATATAATTGACCAATTAAAAAAATATGTAACAATTAATTACAAGTATTCCGTGCGGGAATCATTTTGCAATTGGAGTTATACTTTTATAAAGTTTTTGTCATTTACTACTCCATGATAAGACCAAATATATATATACACACCATATACACTATCACGTACCGAGTACTGTATATCATTATACTTATATAGATCACACACAGACACGATGTTATAAAGCCATCTCAAAAGGCAGTCTCTCTCGCATTGACACTGCCACAACACGCGGCGAAGCGGACGCTCACAGACCCGACACTTCTCTCTCTACTTTTCTTCGCGCTCTGATATTGTTTGTTCCTTTCTCACTTACTACTCTCTATCCCTCTCGTTTTTTTCTTCCTCTTCGTCTTCTACCAACAACGCTAATCTGTTTTGGCCCTTTTCAGTTCGTTTTAGTATCTCAATTTGTTCTCACTTCTCTCTCACTTTCTCTACAAATTTCTCTCTCTTTACGAGGAACCAAACAGTGCGTTTCAGTTTCACTTTCTGCTTCAGAATAACGAAAGGGTAAGGGAAAAAGTTTCACGATTTTCCATCTCCGATTCGCGTATTAGATCGTGATAATAGCAATTAATGTCTCTGTTTAATTGTTAATATAATTCAATGCCATTAAATTAAAGATAGGAAGAAAAAGAGAGTAATGGGTTGTGCAAAATGATGTCTTTAATGTTTGAAACACGATCTCTTTTCTGTATAAATTCGTCTTGTATTTATTGTTTGTTACTGTTCATGTTTAGATTTCTTTGATTTTTTTTTTTTCAAATTTGGAAAGTGAAATTTCATTACTTTTCTCTGTTTTAGCCTAGATTACATTTGATTCTAAAAAGTCTTTTTGATTATATATATCGCAGACTGGTAGAGATCATCATCCTGGTCGAGAAGATGAAAATGGGATCAAATCTGCAGAGCTTTCTCCATTCTGCAACACCAAATGTACCTTCAAAACGCATTCCTCAGGTAATTTTCTGAATACCTGAAAAAATTAACTTTTTAATCTATCTCTCTCTTTTTCTTTATATATATATATATATATATATATTTTGGGATCTCATTTGGGTAAATTTCCGGGGCTTTGCAGATTGAATTGTTTATGAATTTGATTTTTTTTTTCTTTTTTGTTTTTTTTTTTTTTTTTGGGATAAATAATTTGGCCTCTGATCGTTTATTTGCTGTCCTATTTGGATGTATTGGACACATATCTTAATTTCTGAATTTTCATTTTCTTGGTTTTATCTACTGTTACTTTTTTTATATATGATATATTTGTATGTGCATGTAGATTATATATATATTTTAAAATTTATTTGTTGTGTGAGTGAGTCTGGAAGACGATGAGATTGAAGCCTCAATCATTGATATATATATATATAAAATTCTTAATTTCAAAAAAAAAAAAAAGGAAGAAAGAAAAAAAGGAAGCATTCAATGGCAGTTTAGCAAAAAATGCTGTAGTTTTCTGTGAAATCTCAACATATATTCCTTTTATGAGTTGATGCCAGATAAAAGTTTTCTTCTTATACCTGAATTATTAGAAAAGAACTTGGTTGGAGGATGATGACCACTTTGTTATTTGGATTGAATTTTGCAGAGATGTAACCTGGTTGGTAAAGATACAATTGAATATTTCACACTGGGAGACCTCTGGGATTGCTATAAAGAATGGAGTGCATTTGGTGTTGGCACTCCAGTGGTGTTGAACAATGGCGAGGACGTGGTGCAGTACTACGCTCCTTATCTATCCGCCATTCAAATTTACACCAACAAATCCTCTCCCACTCTCAGGTATTCAAACTATTTCTTTAAACAACTTATATACGCAAGCTGGCAGTATGTGAAAGTGATTCGGCAATGTAATGGATCATCTTTTTATCTTATAGGAATACAGGAGAGGATTCTGATCTGGCAGAATGTGAAAGTGAGTCTTGGAGTGATGATAGTGAGAGTGATAAACTCTCTGGGACTCTAAGCAACCACTCTTGCAAGATTTGGGATACCACTTCTCCAGATTCAAATTTTGACCAGGATGGTTCGAGCCCATTGAGAGATCGCCTTGGTTCTCTCTACCTTCAGTACTATGAAATGCGTTCGCCGTACTGGAGGATTCCACTGACTGAGAAAGTAAATAATCTTTGTCTTTTATATTAATACATCTTCTCTCTCTCTCTCTCTCTCTCTCTCTCTCTCTTTTATTTTTTATTTTTAATTTTTAATTTTTATAACTTTTTTGTGTTTCCCCACCGTTGACATGTAAACTGGGAAGAATGAGTGAACTAATAATCTTTACTTCTATAAGTGGATTGAGTGGAATGACTCATGATTCATGTAACCGATCTCAACTAATTGGGAAAAGACTTGTTGAGTTGTACAAACTCTTATTAACGAATGATATCTTGATTGGTTTGTCTAATTTAGATCACTGACCTCGCACAAAATTGTTTGGGACTCCTGACATTGAAGAGCATCGATCTCTCTCCGGCAAGTTGGATGGCCATTGCTTGGTATGTTTGCTAATTAGTCTCTAAAAGATGTTCTTGTGATATGAATGTCCATAATTGTCTTCTGTTTTTTTTTTTTTGTTTCATTGGTAAAATATATTCATGCACCCACTTTTTTTCCCATTTGGGATTTGAACCTTCAACCTAATACTGCGTGATTTATAGTGCTGATATCAATTTAGATTCCTGTCGGGTTGAATTATGCAAATTTTAAGCTATCCATTTTTTTCCCCATTTGGGTTTTGAACCTTCAACCTTCTCTTTGGGAGATGGAGGGAATACCAGTCAATCTAATACTGCGTGATTTATACTGCTGATATCCATTTAGATTCCTGTCTGATTGAATTATGCAAATTTTACGCTATCCATTTCCTGGACCAATTTGGTTCGAGAAAATTGGTGATCACAACCTTAATTTATTGAATGTCTTTTTCTGGATGATGCATCGGAATGGGAGAGGAATTTGTGGAACTCATATAGGTATTGGGGTCAGTATTTGGTGTATCTTTCTCTCTTTTTGAGAAATGATAAAGCTGGTGTGGCAATATTTTTTTTTTAGTTTCTGAAAATGGTTTCTTTATAATAATTTTCCTAATGTGAATCAGAAGGAGGTATTTATTTTTATTGTTTTATTTATTTATATATTTTTTGGGGTATCAGGTATCCTATTTATCACATTCCAACTAAAGGAAACGTGAAGGAGTTGTCAACATGCTTCCTCACTTACCACACATTGTCCTCATCTTTCCAAGGTATGGCCATCCATCATTCTGTTCCATACTTCAATTCAGGGTAAATAGTCTGTTGCTTCTTTGATGGATAAAGTTTGTGTGCAGTAAAAAAGGTAAATCCCAAAAAAAATTTGAGGACATCTATTTATTTCAGCAAAATTGAAGAAAGAATAGCTAGAAAGAAATAGGAGTGATTGACTCTTATCGTTTTCTAAGAAAGATCTTTCATTCTTATGGTTTTAAGAAATTGTCGAAGCTGTTTGGGTTTGATTGATATTGATTTCTATTGGACAATTAAATGCAGATCAAGAAGGTTTTCTTGCAGTCTCATTTCCTAGTATGCTGCTGCTGTGGTTGAAATGCAATGTCATCTTGCATATTGTGCAAAATATCATTTGGTGGTCTCTAATTAATTAGAACACCTAAAAATGCTCATCTGTGCATGAATAAGAAATCCAATATATTCTGCATCACTTGGTGCATTCCTGAAATATTTACTTTGTTTTATACATGACAGTCTAAATTTCACGTTCTTGATAAATTGATATATTCATTAAGGGAAGTTTATGGCAGGGACGTTTAGAATCTTAGGTGCATATGGACCTGTCGACAAAATTTAAGTTTGGCATTTTTCGTCTTCGCATTTGTTATTATATACATGTGGAATTTTTTCATTGGCATCTTTTACCTGTCTATAAGTTGGAAATGGAACAATAGTCATGGTGCTTTTGTAAGGGGCTGATCCTGTAGCATATTCGTTTACAAGTTTTGTTACTCCAATCTTACTGAATTTGTTTCTATTGGATTTATATCATAAAAAATGTCTTGTTTAGTCTCAAATCTGCAACTCAGTAGGGTAATAATTGCAAATACATCCATTTTTGGTTCATTTCTGTGGTTAACACTGTTTGGTAGGAAGGATGGAAGAGGAGGGTATCGAAGGGGGGAAGGTTGTTACATGCTTCTATTTTAACAAGGGGACGGGTGTATCGGTGGGGTAAGGAAGAGAAAAGGGGGGGGGGGGGGGGGGGGGGGGGGGTTGTGACATGCTTCTATTTTAACAAGGGGACGGGATGCGAAAGAGGATAGGAACATGTACAAGACACCCCTGTGGATCGACCTTTGTTTAGTTCTGTCCAAAATTGGACAGAAGGGTTGAGGGGAAGGAAGGATATTTATTGTAGAAGAAATAATGGACATCATTATCCTCATTTTTTAAATCTGGCATATCAGAAACATTGGTTTATAAACTGCAGGGTGTAGTGGTACTGTAAAAACCAAAGGCCTCTTCTTTCCTTCTCTCCTCACACCAAACAATGGAATGCTATCCTTTCTCTTTCCTTCCACTGAACCGAAACAAGGTGGAAAGAACACCTTGCATTCCTTTGGAGATGTCTATTCAAAGTTTCTTCCTTTCCATTTCCATCCCATTTTCTAGGCCTTCTACCAAATGGATCATAAATTTCTCTGCTTTTTAGTATTGCCAAACCTGCATTTCAGCAAGTTCGTCTTGCACTTAGCTTATATCATTTGAGGTTTCAATAAACTATCTAAGCCAAAAAAGAAAATGATCTAAATAAAAAGTTACATAAGCTATCTTATCTAGCTGTTTAACATGGATCTGAGCATAGTGTTTATATTTTTTCCCTTTTGACATGAATTTGACTGTGATTAATGGTATTTTCTTTCCGAAGATTGTATACTGATTCTAAGATGCCTTTTTCCTATAGGCAGTTGTCAACTTTTACTTAGAAAAATCTAAATGCCTTGTTCTTATTTTATCTTCTAATTGGAAAGCCAATGTCAATTATCTATGCCCACAACAAATAACTCGATGACTAATATTTAATAGGAGACCACTATGGCCAGTTTCTATGCTCAACAGAGCAGGTATTATCACATGCGTAGCAGAGATGGTTGAATTAAGGAGTGTAGGATTTTTTTTTTTTTTGGTTCCAGTTAGGGTGTTGGAAAACTTCCAGAATATTCTGGAGGAAAATTAGTTTCACCTTATCAAACAGTATTCTAAAATTTATATTCCTGGGATCAGAGTCAGTCTTTTAGTGAATGCTTTGGTCAAGGCCAAGGGAGAAGAAATTTGGCTAATGCAGTCCGATTTCTTCCCTTTCTGAGTCAATATGAGGAAATAATATTTCATGAATCCATTGATTAATGATAATAGCATGTGTAGCCAAATAGTTGCAGTTGTCATCGACTGCTTTTCCCTACTAAGGACTTACCATTGTGTTTACGGCTTGATACTGCAGATGCTGCATTGGAGAACTATGAAGACATTGGAAAAGACATTCCTTGTTCTGGAGTAGTAGAAGAAATATTAGGATGTAAATCTAAAGGGAAGGAAAGTGATGGAGTTTCACTTCCCCCCTTCGGGCTAGCTACTTACAAGATGCAAGGGGATCTCTGGATGAAGCCCGACACATCTGATCATGAAAGGCTGATGTATCTTCATAGTGCTGCTGATTCCTGGCTGAAGCAGCTCAGTGTCCAGCACCACGACTTCAGCTATTTTACTTCGCACTGTACCATGGATATTGGTACGTCTTTGTAAATTCTTGCACCCTTTGGTTCTGTCCGCTGCTCTGGTGACTGCCATTTGAAGAGACTCCCACTGCAGTAATGAACATATTTAGAAACCGAGAGCTGCGTTTTTTGATAGCCATGGACATGTAGTTCCAAAGTAACAGTTCACTCCATAGAGTTCTTTTTCCCTTTACGTTGGAGAGTGAGGAAACTTGAAATTTTGGTGGTATTTTTGCATGAACTCTAGCTTGTATTACTTGTATATATCTTTTATATATCCTTTTTCAGTGAGATGCTGGCTTAATTGTTAATTTACGGCCTTTACGCCGCCCTTCAGCTACGTATATATTAGATAATATTGCCAGTCATAAATTGTTAGTAACACTGTAATTTAAACCTTCTATGGTGTTGTGAATACAGGCTGTTTCATTAAAATTCATCTCATAATTGTTATTTTCAGTCATTATCTTCTTTGAGATAATCAAATGTTACAAAATGTGCCTGTTTGACAATTGTTATATTTATAATTCAAGAGCTTTGGACATATTTTTCTTAATTAGGGCAATTATTTTCTCTATAGAAGCTGGTTCTTCAAGGTCTTTGAGTCTTCAGCTAGCTCAAAATCAACATCAACTTGACTATTTCTAGTCTTTTCTCCTACCAATCCTTTGATTACAAACCAGTATATGTGTTTCTGCCCCATTTACTCTTCTTAACTTATTTTTCTGGTCTATGAAAGAAAGATGAAAATTATAAAAAAATATACTACAAAATAAATAGAAAGTATGAGTACAGAATGCATAACTATAAAGTATGGGAATTTTTGGAAAAGCTGTATTGTGGGCTGTAATATAAATTGTGGTCATTTGTTTTTTACTTTGATAAGGACTGTAATAGGATTGTGGGCTGGGCCTGTTCAAAACTATGGGAATTTTTGGAAGCCATCGGCTTTGGGCTTCTATTTTCCAGCGATTGTTGCTCCCGATTGTCACTCTCGTGCATGTAGATGGGATATCTCCTAAAAATAATAATAATAATTATAGAAAAGGAAGGACGAAAAAGTATTTATTTCTGCTTTTTTACATATTCGGGTTATTATTATTATTATTATTTCAATAAATAATAATAATTACAATTTTTTGTCATTGGTATTTGTTAAGAAACAAATTCAGGCTCACAATGTTCCTGCATAGATTTGAATTCTCAATTCGAGAAAGTAGTATCGAACTACATTGCCTTTATGTTATGCACAACAAGAAAGAAAAAAATTGGATGGAAGGAATGGAGAGAAGAAAAAAATTGGATGGAATGGAGAGAAGAAGAGATAGAGAAAAAAATTGGATGAAACGGAAAGAAGAAGGGGTAGAGATAAGACATCTTAGGGAAGAGATGGTATATTTTTTTTCTTTTCATTCAGTAGAGATTGTGTATTTTTTCTTTTTTGTTCCGTTAGATATAAATTATAGAATAGAAGAGAATAAGAGCATAAGGGAAGGAAAGATAAAGTTTTAATTATTTTTACCATTATATCTAAATAATATTTATAATATTGTAATTTATAGAGAATATTACTATAATTTAAAATTTATATAATTTAGGATAATATTTAATTTAAAACTTCTAAAATACTCCGCTTGTTTTTTCTCCTTTTTTTCGTTCTTGGTTGGATAAAAATTTGTAATGGAGGAAGATGACTCATCTTTTTTATTATCATTTCTTTACTTGTAACATTTCTGCGGAATAAAGAAAATTTATTTATTTCCTTCTTATTTCCTCTCCGCATCCCTTCTAGCAAAATGTTAAATTAGATGATATTGAATTTGATAAATGAGTAAAGATTTAACATAATTTCAGGATACAATTCTTAACTAAATTTTTTGAAACACGGACCAGACAAATGTAAACAGGTTATAAATAAATTAACAATTTTTTTTAACGCCAACAAAAATTTGGAAATCAAATATGAACAAAACATGAATTAAATTAAATAAAATAAAATTAAATATAAATACCACACATTTAAATAGTATTAATTCAGATATTATACTCGAACTCGAACTCGAACTCGAACTCGAACTCACTGAGTCATTGTAAGTTGCCTTTAAATTATCTCCCTGCACTTCACTCATTCACTGTTAGAATGTTACAATCAAGAAAAATAAATAAATAAAGCAAAAAAATAAAAGAAAAAAAAAAAAAAAATTTCTTGTTCACTTTAAAAATCCTATTTCTTTCTGTACCGTATATATTCATTGGAGTAGTAATAAAGAACAAATGGTACAAAATTCGCTTTCATTCATCCATCATCAAGCTTTATGCGGTGGTGTTGATGTGAATGTGATCAGAACAGACATAGTTTGGCGGGGGTGAGAGTGAAGGAGACAATGTTCCTGTTGGCGCTGTTTCTTGGGTTCTTTCTGGGGGCTATGGCGATTGTGGTGGTCGAAGCTCTTGGAGTCCTCTTTGTGAAAGGCCGATTGAATCGAAGAATCAAAGAAGCAGACGCAACGGCGGCATCGAAATCTCGTCATTCTCTTTCGATCTTTCTTCTTATCACAACAAGCAGGTCAGTGTTCACTTCGTTTTGTTGCTTCATTGCTTAGCCTATATTGTTATCGTGTAAACACACGCACATATACGTCCTGCAATAACATTAATCCTCCTAAATTATTAGAGGTTTGCAGTTCAATAAACTAATTGTCATTAGCTGATTGCTAAATGTCTCCTGAGAACTTCCAAATTACCCCTAGGACAGGTAGTTAATTTGTCTCTTTTATTTATTTTTTATTTTGGGATTTTCAAAAACTCCCAATGATTTTCCTGTTTGTTTTTTAAGAGTCTTGTTATTTTGCAAAATTCTTGATATTTCAAGGTGGTTGTCTGTTAAAAATTTAGTACAAGGATATATGCAAATATTCAGTATTTTTATGCAAATTTAACCCAGAATCATACATAGAAAGGTTGTGCTATCTCCTCATAAATGCTAATTTTTTACAAGGTCACTGATTCATTTAAAGTTAAAATTAAAAATAAATTTAATCTACCTTCAAGTTTAAAAGAAAATAATTTGAGGAAAACTAAAAATGCCACAAATGATTTATTATAATTTTTGGGTAGGTACATCACACATACACCCATTTGCCTCATTAAAAACTTCTCAACCTTCTATTTGAAAGGAGGAGATACCACTTAACCTAAGCCTTTGGTGATTTATAAAAATGAATGGTTTTGGCATTGTATGCCATTTGTCTTGCCTAAGTTAATTTTGGCAGCATTTTAATTCATTTCATTCTATAGCTGAAAAACAGCCACTAAATGTTATAAACACAAGCTATCTTATCTACAGCTTCAAACATTTGTAAACTGCTAAAAAAATTTCAGTTATATCAACATTAAGTGACTCCTGCACCTTCAACTAGTAGGTGAACTTGAGATCCTCCAAATAGCCAACAAAATAAACTAACAAATTGATAGGCCACATGTTGGGATTTGGTTGTTAGCGTACACTGATGACAATAGACTTAATTTCACATGCAATTAGGAGCACGAGTATTCTGTTACATTTTGCAAATTTTGGATGTTCAATGCTACACACCTATTAGACACTGTGGTGTGGGCTTTGGTTTGCAGTTCAATAAACTAATTGTCATTAGGTTGTTAGCGTACACTGATGACAATTGACTTAATTTCGCATGCAATTAGGTGCACAAGTATGCTGATACATTTTGCAAATTTGATATGTTCAATGCTACACACCTATTAGAAGTGTGGTGTGGGCTTGTTTGGTAGGGTTCCCATAAAATCTAAGAATAGCTTTCAATTGAATAGAAAATAGTAATGGTTATTCAAATTTAGATAGGGATTTATGTCAGAATATATGTAGAACTAGCATAGTAGCATATAATATATATATTTTTTATATCGAATTAACAAACAGCGTACGTTAGAAATAGTTTATAATATGAATCAATGAGTTCACTTTAATACATTTTTACCATTCAAAAGGGTAGAGATTATGAGATGTGCAATGGGCTGGTACTAATCATTTAATGCAATTTACCATTTCAAATAAATACGCATACCAAATTATCATGATACTAAATAGGGAGAAAATATTGATTTAATTTGAAGCAATTAACGACCAGCCACATCCTAAGTTTGGAGGGCCTAATTCAGCTTCTGTGCCCATGTGGTGCCAAATTTGTAAAAATTATAACTTAAAATTAATCTAGTTTTGTATTTCTCGATTAGTTTTTCTATATATATTCATTGACTTGGTAGTGTCAGACCTCTTAGAGCACCTCATAATCCACTACCAAGTACATATCTATATTTTTTATCACATTAATTTTGTTGTATTGTAATTCTTCATTTTGCACGTCATTTTGGAGTAACTAGATTTCAATGCACAATAATCCTCTCATATTTTATGAGTTGCACAGATTTTTTAATAAAATTTGGCCAGGGTGTATATCCTCCATTAAATTAGGGTCAAGCTCTGGTACTATCACTCCTTGTGCCTGTTTGGCTCTCCTTATTTTTTCTAGGGGCGTGCCAGAGTCTTTCGACTCAAGGGGTTGGATAGCCAAACTATTCTTGGTGTTGATCGAATCTGAAATTGGCCCTTAGTGAATCAGGCGACTGTTGGAAGGCAAGGATGACTCCTTCCTTTAGGTTCTTCAATGCCTTAATTAAGAGGACTTTTGACAAAATAAAATAAAATAAGGGCTGGAATTGGATGAAGGGAGTAACACTAACTGCACAAGCGTTTATCAATCCCAAATAAACTTATAAAATAACAATGGAGGGAACACTTAAGTACTAGCGTTCATCTTATTTCATAAGTGAAATTTTTACACAAGTGATACAAGTACAAGAATTGGATTCTAACAGAACTACTTCTAAGAAAAGAAGTACAATATAAATGAAAGACTAAGTATGTAATTGCAGAAGTATGAAATTTGTTGTATGGTCGTGGACCTTTGTGCAGATCTCTTCTGGTGCTATTTATAGAGAAGTCTTGTAGCAATTGAAAGTAGTTGTTACTTTCATGTTGTTTAAATTCAAATACCTTATGGACGTCAGGCCTTTTTTTTTTTATCGCTTATCAGCAATCTTTCAACCACATCCTAACTACGGCACATTCATCGTATAATTGTTTTGACCACTTAATCAATTGAGGTGCTGATCAAACCTTGCCACCAAAGTGACAAGTAAGTGGTCTAGGTTCAGGATTGAATTATGTAGAGGCTGATTGTGTTTAGCCCTCGAGTAATTTCCAATCTCAGCACTAAATTGTTGACATTTACCACCAAAACGTGCATATTTGGTTGTCAATCAACAACCCATAATTTAAATCGGTCACAATAACCGATTATTCTTTGGTACCCCAAGTGGTTGAACAACCTAATGGGTCCTCCAGGATCGAACGGAAATTCTTTAGGCCTTTTTGGGCTTCTTGGGCCGAACGAATTGCCATCCATGGCCAAGTAGGCCTCGGAGCAGAAGCATATTTTCTTCTAGCTTTTTTTAGTATCCTTTTGGTTGTTGAATTTGACACCTGGGCGCCACTGACGGTTTCTAGAGGCTTTGTCGACCCCTGACATATACAAGGTTTAATACTTATTTTTTTAGTAGCGTCAACATCAAGGCTAATTTCAACCTCTGTCAAATGAATCTCATAAGTAGGATCTTTGACATAATTATTATTTGACGCCTCTGTCACATGATTTTCATAGTTTTGTCTCTGTAATAGGTACCCCTAGAGGCATTCCTTCTATCTTGTTCTTCTTTCAGGACCTTTTCATATCTTGCAGCACTAGAGGCTAGTTGGAACAAGTTCCGAAATTACATTCCCTCAAATTTCTTTCGTAATTCAAAGTCTAAACCATTCAAGGCTAGACTCACATATTCAGTTTCTTGAAGGGCTACTTGGCATTTATGTCTCGCTCTTTTAAACCTATGAATAAAGGCTTCAGTCGTCTCTCCAGGCATTTGGGACAGCCTAGACAAGTCAGCCATCAACACCTCTGGTTCGGTCTTATAAAATTGGGTATGAAACATTTCTTTCAATTGTTGCCAAGTATAGACCGAATTTGCTAGTAAACTTATATACCAAGAAAACGCGGTCCCTGTAAGGGAATTAACAAATATCCTTAATTTTAATAATTCATTTGCTCCAGCCCCACCACATTGAATGGTAAATTGACCAATATGTTCTATGGTCGAAGTAGAGTCTTCTCCCGAAAAGGTGACAAAATCGAGAACTTTATAACCTCTTGGAAACTCATATAGGTCTATATAATCCGGATATGGCTTCCTATATATAGGGCAACCAACTATTCTTGGGGCTGGTCCATAAGTTTTTTGAATTAAATTAGCCAATTGATTTCTATCAACCATCAGGGGTTGATGATTTGGCTGTTGTGCCTGAGGCTAAGGCACATACGGCACCTGAGGCTGAGGCGTTGGAAAATTAAAACCAGTATTGAAATTATCTCGCCCCTCTTAGGATGACATACTTGCGGTTGGTGTTGATAAATCGGATTAAGTGTTTCCCAATCCATATTCTGATTGGCCCCTCCGATTGGTTGGTACTCCGCTGGTATCTGATGTTGCAGTTAATTAGCCTGGGGTTGATATTGTCCATGTAACGGCTGTAGAAGGGGTTGAACTTGCTGCTGTTGTTAGTAGTAATTCTGTTGAACCCCAACACGCGTTGGAAGTTGTTGCTATGCATGCAACAAAGTATCTGTGGTATTCGACCGTGCCATAAGGTGTTGATCAAAACTTGTTAAGAGAACGGTCAAAGAATCATTCAAATTAGCCAATTTGTTATGGGTTGGCTCTAATGCTCCATTAAAGGTACGACTAGCAATTTTCACTCGTTGCACTAAGTTGTTAACATTCTCAGCCCACATCTGATTTTTTGGCTGTTGATTCACTTCGATTTCAGCCTCTTGTTCCTGATGTTGAGGCTGTTGATTCACTTCGAGTTCAGCCTCTTGTTCCTGATGTTGAGGCTGTTTCTCAGGCAAATTTTGCGACTGAGACCGAGTAAATGTCATAGATAAAGGTTGAATTTAGACACTTTCGGTGTCCCACAGGGCGTGCCAAATTGTTTGGCTCTCTTTTTTTTAGGGGCGTGCCAGAGTCTTTCGACTCAAGGGGTTGGATAGCCAAACTATCCGCGGTGTTGACCGAATTTGATATCGGCCCTTAATGAATCAAGCGACTGCTGGAAGGCAAGGATGACCCCTTCCTTCAGGTTCTTCAACGCCTCAATTAAGAGGACTTTTGACAAAATAAAATAAAATAAGGGCTAGAATTGGATGAAGGGAGCAACACTAACTGCACTAGCGTTCATCAATCCCAAATAAACTTATAAAATAACAATGAAGGGAACACTTGAGTACTAGCGTCCATCTTATTTCATAAGTGAAATTCTTACACAAGTGATACAAGTACCAGAATTGGATTCTAACAGAACTACTCCTAAGAAAAGAAGTACAATGTAAATGAAAGACTAAGTATGAAATTGCAGAAGTATGGTCGTGGACCTTTGTGCAGATCTTTTCTAGCGCTATTTATAGAGAAGTCTTGTAGCGGTTGAAAGTAGTTGCTACTTTCATGTTGTTTGAATTCAAATACCCTATTTGAATTCAAACACTTTTGTCTGGAAATTTATCCAAATGAACGTGTTTTTGGAATAAAACTCCTTAATGATGTGGCTTTAAATCTAGGAATTATTGAATTTAGACTCCAATTTTGAATAAGAGTCCTATTAGTAACACGCTACATATCTTCCATTAATAGGCCCAAGTGTTTGCATCAATTTGAAGTAATCCTCTATTATTGCAGCCCATTAGAAGAAATGATCCATCAATTAATTAACTTTAATTAATTTGGTTAAGAACTTTTGTCAAATTATTCGACTTGTGCCATGTGGCCGAATAAATATTTATTTTTAGGGTGCAAACAATGCCAAAGAGGGGGATAGGGATTGATTCATTAAGAAACCACAAGTAGTCGTCTACACTTAAAAACGATTAAATCTGAATTGACTTTAGTTTAGTGTCTCATGAATATATATATATATATATACACACACACAGAGATGACTGATTCACTGGAATTAAAATTAAATTGACTGTAGTTAAATGTCTCATGTGTGTGTGTATATATATATTTGAAATATATATATATAAATTTATAGCTTTAGGTCATTTATTATCTACACATAAATTTTATATCTTTTATTTCATTTATTATCTTTTGTAAGGAAGGTTGTTGCATGACTTATTGAAATATAATATATATATATATAATTTTATAACTTTAAGTCATTTATTATCTTTTGTAAGGAAGGTTGTTGCATGATGTTAATGCATCATTGCAATAATGTTTTAGTGATTACAAAAGTCCAAATATTGTAAGATTGCACGGTTGTTACATGACATTTATTGCTTTAATTTATTTATTGTTTAATTATGCATTCATATTTATATTATATTCTCGTATGATTGGCTAATAATATTTTTTCTTCTATTTTGCTATTGGGACAGGTCGTGACTTTATGAGGTGGTGTTTAGGTAACTTTGACTATGCTTGAACCCGAATTGGGTTCGTAGGGGTTCATGTTTTTGTTTATCTGCCTGTATTATGTAGCAATATTACCCTTTTACCCTTGTTCTTACTATATAAATGTTAGAAGCCTTAGGGTTCCTCACTCCTCGTATCATCCACTGCCTCTCATCTTATTCCTACTTTGCTACTCATTGCCCACTTTGACAGGCATCTCCAATGAGCAAGGGATCGACGATTATTTCTCTTTGATGTTCGGCTACTGAATACCCACTCAGTATGTACCCTCTCTGTATAAGTTTTATCTCTTTCTCTATCTTCTTAATTCCTCTCTCATGTGTTGTGTTTCGCTCCTATATATAAATTTCCTAATTAACATGAGTTTGAAGATGCATGTGATGTTATTATAGAACACTCATTTGGATATTTTTCCTTAATTTGACGCTTGAAAGCCGAATTTTATTGTGATTGTGTTTTGGAATATGAGATCATTTTTGGGCCTGTTTGGTTCAAATTTCAAAAAATAGTGATCAAGAACTCATAAAACAAAAATTCGTTTTCAGAGAACTATAAAAGAGAGTTATCTGAAAATAGACCTTTTTTCAAACTGGGTTTTCAAAAAACAGTTTTAAGAAATTTTCAACCAAACAGATTTTTGTATAGTTTTATAATTTTTAGTTATCAGAAAATAGAAAACTATTATAAGAAACAAGCAAACCATTTCTCTCTTTCTCTCTCTCCCTCTGTCTATCCTAGGTTCGGAACAGGTATGCTGTATGCAACACTTTTCATGTTTAACAGGACTGAGCACTGTTTAAAGAAACCTGGTCCATTGCCATTCCTAACTACAAACCCTAATTAACTAGATCCATGTATATTGTATAATAAACTTGGAATGGACTCAACATATCTCAGGTGAATTCAAGGGCAACTTAGTTCAAATGCTCCCGCTTTTGTGTGGTTTAGAGATGGTCAGATGTATGCCACCTTACCTCCGCATGCGAAGAGGCTGTTTCCCGTTTTGGACCCATGATCTCCGGGTCAAAATAATGCAACTTTACGGTTGCGCTAATGTCCACTTTCAGGTAAACTGGATGATTCATTATATTTATTTTGATATATTGAGAAAAAAAAAAAAAATGTGCATGATAGGTTCTTGTAAATCTTTTAAGGATCATTAGACAACGGTCATTACATTCTTCTGTGTTAATCTTGTAAGGATTATTAGACAACGGGGGTATTTGTAAGATTTAATGAAAGTTCAAGGGTTTTTTTTTTTTTTGGTTAAATTACTAGTAATGTTAATATGTAAAAAGTGAAAGTTCATATTAATTGAGAAATAATATTTACGTTCCATTTTTCAATACTCTTACTTTTGTACATGCAATTATGCAAACAAAGCTTGATTTCCTCCTCCGTGTTGTTCCAGAAGGCTAAAAACCAAACGGATTATGTCCAAGAGGAGAGTGTTGTGAATGATGGAGTACGAGTTTGGTATAGCAGTTCATTGTCTATATCGTACAAAGCAAAAAGGGTGAGTGAACGAAATGAGTTTTAAGTATCCACTCCTTGGCTTCTTTCTTGCTAGATGTAAATATTGTGTTTTGTAAAATGGCACCATTGTCCTTTAACAACATTTTCACAGTCCATAGCTATCCAAAAAAGTATTACATTGCTTTTTCTTGGATAATTTTGTCACTTTAATAAGATTGTCAAAATCTCGTCCCACTAATTAATGAAAGTAGTTGGTAAGTATGCACATTAATACATATACAAATATATATGTGTGTGTGTGTGTGTGTATATATTAAATTTTAGGCATATTCGAACAGACCTGACACTTCTCTTCCTCTCTGCTTTTCTTCGCGCTCTGAATTTGTTTGTTTCTCACTTACTCTCTATCCCTTTCGTCGTCTTCTTCCTCTTCGTCTTCTTCATTGCTCTCTTCTACAATACAACAACACTAATTTGTTATTTTATTAACCACTCATCCCTGTTTTGGCCTTTTTGAGTTCGTTTTAGTATCTCGAACTCTGCTCACCTCTCTCTCTCTCTCTCTCTCTCTCTCTCTCTATAACTTACTCTCTCTTTCTGAGGAACTGAACAGTGCTTTTCAGCTTCAGAATAACGAAAGGTAAGGGAAAAAGTTTCAGGATTTTTCATCTCCGATTCAAGGACTATATTGTAATAATAACAATTTGTGTCTCTCTTTGTTAATTGTTAATATAATTCAATGCTATAAAGTTAAAGATAAGAAGAAAAAGAGAGTAATGGGTTGTGGAAAATGTTATCTTTAATATTTTAAACACACTCTTTTTCTGTGTAGCTTCATCTTGTATTTATTGTTTGTTACTTTTCATGTTTAGATTTCTGTGATTTATTATTCAAATTTGGAAAGTGAATTTTCATTACATTTTCTCTGTTTTAGCCTAGATTATATTTAGCCTTTTCGATAGTATATATCACTGAGTGGTAGAGAACATCACTGTGGGATAATTTTTAGTCTAACTTGTTCAGTAAAGATGAGAATGGATACAAATCTGCAGAGCTTTCTCCAGTTTGCAACACAAATGTACACTCAAAACGCATTCCTCAGGTAATTTTAAAGCTTAATTATTATCTTAATGCCTTCCTGTTCTTATTTTATCTTCTAATTGGAAAGCAATTGTCAATTATCCATGCACAATAAATAACTAATTACTAAAATTTAATAGGAGACAGCTATGGCCAGTTTCTAGGCTCAACAGAGCAGGTACTATCACAGATACATCAGAGATGGTTGAATTAGGGAGTGTAGGCTGTATATAATCTTACAGTGAGGGTTGAAGCCTGAAGGGACTTCTCTCAAACCTGAACATATACAAACTCTCTAATGAAAACTATCTGTTGTCTTAGTGTTTTGGGTTTTCCTGCAGAAGATTCAATTCACCAAAACTTTGGTTTGACTTGACTAGCGTAGTGATGTTGTTTATATTCTATCTTTCTTTTTTTTGGGTTCCAGTTAGGCTGTTGGAAAACTTCCAAAATATGCTGGTGGAAAATTAGTTTCACAAAGCCCTACAAAACAGTGTTCTAAAATTATATTCCTGGGATCATTCATAGTTACGTTCTTTTAGTGAATGCTTTGGTCTAGGGGAGCAGAAATTTTGTAATGCAGTCCAAATTCTTCCCTTTCCGAGTCAATATGAAGAAATCTTATTCATGAATCTGATTAATGATAATAGCATGTGTAGCCAAATTGTTGTAATCGTCATTGACTGCTTTTCCCTACTAAGGACTTACCGTTGTGTTTCTTGTTTGATACTGCAGATGCTGCATTGGTGAATTATGAAGACATTGGAAAAGACATTTCCTTGTTCTGGAGTGGTAGAAGAAATATTAGGATGTAAATCTGAAGGGAAGGAAAGTGATGGAATTTCACTTCCCCCCTTGGGGGTCGCTTCTTACCAGATGCAAGGGGTTCTTTGGATGAAGCCCGGCACATGCGATTATGAAAGGCTTGTTGTATCTTCATAGTGCTGCTGATTCCTGGATGAAGCAGCTCAGTGTCCAGCACCGTGACTTCAACTATTTTACTTGGCACTCTACCATGGAGATTTGGTATATCTTTCTAAATTGTTACGTCATCCGCTGCTCTGGTGATTGCCATTCAATGACTCTCCCACTGCAGTAATAACAATTTGGTGATACTCATTTCAGACTATGAATTGTTGACTCGGTCATTGACTTAGAGCCTGCCTTAACTTTGTGATACTGATGTTCAATATCAGGGTAATAACAGTTTTGATTATGTTCAGACTTTGACTTGTTGCCATGCACAAAATATATATAATTCAAGAGCTTTGTACACATTTTTCTTAATTAGGTCAGTTATTTTCTCTACATAAGCTGGTTTTTCAAGGTCATCGTCTCTTTAGCTAGCTCAGAGTGTTTACAGTACGTTAAGTGTTTCTCATTTACCTTTCTTTAACTTATTTTTGTGGTCTCATCGTCACAACTATAATTGTTGGATGGTTTTTTTGGTTCATATATTCGTTTATGGAAGGCACTTGTAAGCTCATAATTAAGAAATGAAACAGCGTGACAAGAGTCTACGAATAAAGACGAAAATTAGAGAAAATATATTACCAAATAATAATAATAATAAGTACTTTCGTACGGAATGCTAAATTCGTTCTTGGAAGTATAATTGTATTAGTTATGTTTCAAATGCAATTATTGAGTGTTATGATTGATTATGATTTGTGAGAAAATTAAACAATTTTGACAAGTAGGAGTTAAATAACCAGCTGAGAATGGAGAAATGATGTGCTAATGTGCTATTCCGAAAAGATTATTACTAATTTAATTTGTATATATATCTTTGCCGCTTAACAAAAAATAGAAACTACTACGTAGAATAATTTATTTCAGCCTTTTACTATATCCTCGGGTTATCCTTTTGAAGCTCCCGATGGAGAAAGCTAAACCCTAGCGCTCGAATCCTGCTTCTTAATCCTCACTTGACAAAGAGCCTCGGTGAAAGACAGACCGAGGGTCCCTAAACACATGTCTTGTAAGGACTCGAAAGGTGTCCCCTTTTCCACTGTAATATTGCAGCTCATCGAGTAATGAGTATTGTCATATCTTCGTCATCGTCTTCTTCTTGGCATCATCTTCTTCGACAAAGTTGTTCCGCCGAAGTGGTTTCAACCGTTTTGGGTTTGGTTCGAGTGGTTTCGTGTCTGATTTGAGTGGTTTCAACTGTCAGAATCAGACCCCAAAACGGTTGAAACCACTCGAACCAGAACCAGACCCAGCCGCTGAAACTGTTTGCGATGGTGAGAGTGAAGGGGACAATGTTTCTGTTGACACTCTTTGTTGGGGGCTTTGACGATTGTTGCGGTCAAAGCTCCTGGAGTCCTCTTTGTGATAGGCCGATTGAATCAAAGAAGCAGACGCAAAGGCGGCATTGAAATGTCACCGTCTTTATTATCACACAATCAGGTCACTGCTCACTTCGTTTTGTTGCTTCATTGATTCTTTTTCTCGCCTTTATTGTTATCGTGTAAACACACGCACATATTCCTCATGGAATAAAATTAATCCTCCTCAATTATAAAAGTTTTGCATGTCAATAAACTAATTGTCATTAGGTGATTGGTAAATGTCTCCCGAGAATTACTAAATTCCCCAGAAGGTTAATTGAATAAAACCCGGTTAAATTTTAGGAATTTTGCATGTTATCCATAGGACCAGGTAATTACAAATTTTTATTATTTTGGGATTTTCAGAACTCCCAATGATATTCCTGTTTGTTTTTGAAGAGTCATGATATTTTTCAAAATTCTTGATATTTCTGTATTTCATGGTGATTGTATTTTAAAATTTTAGTACTAGGATATATGCAAATATTCAAAATTTTTGTGGGAATTTAATCCGAAATCACATAGAAGATTTGTTATCTCATATATGCTAATTTTTACAAGGCCACTGATTCAGTTAAAATTAATATTAAATTAGTTTAATCTACCTTCAAGTTTAAGAGAATAATTTAAGGAAAACTAAAAATGCCACAAATGATTTTTTTTTAATTTTTTGGGGGTAGGTGCATAAAAAATACACTCAGTTGCCTCATTAAAAACTCAAATTCTCACCCTTCTACTTGAAAGGAGGAGATACCACTTAAGCTAAGCCTTTCGCAATTTGTGAAACATGAATGCTTTTGGCATTTTATGTCATGGGTCTTGCCTAACTTAATTTTGGTACCATATAATTCATTTAATTTTATAGCTGAAAACAGCCACTAAATGTTATAAGCACATGCTATTTTATCTACAGCTTCAAACATTTGTAAACTGCTAAAAATACTGAGAATAGCTTCAATTTTATAGAAAATGATAATGATTATTCAAATTTAGATAGGGATTTATCTTCGAGCCTTGGTTAAATGGGTTAGATGTAAAAGGTATGGGTAATGGGTGAAGACAGTGTTCGGTATTAGTTAGTAGATTGTATTCTAGAAGTGCTTTATGAGAAATCAATTTCTAATGAAATACTTTAATAACAATTACAGGGCATGTTCAAGGACAAGAGTTGCAAGAATCAATTAATGGGCCTAACAAATCATCCATATTGGGAAAAAATGAATGGTTTGAAGGTTGTTGACAAATAAGGTATGCATTTTTCTTCTTAAAATTATAGCATTTGTTGTTGTCCACACAGAAATTTTCTCCACGTGTCCATGGGATGTTCTTGGCACCTTAGCAATTGTAGATCTATAAATAAATAGGTTCACTTTAATACGTTTTACCATCCAAAAGGCAAATTCTTAGAGATTATGAGATGTCAGATGTGCAATGGATTAATTCTCATCATTTAATGCAATTTACCATTTTAAATAAATATGCATGTCAAATTACCACGATACTATATAGGGAGAAAATATTGATTTTATTTGAATCAATCAACGACCTGACACATTTTAAGTTGGGAGTGCCTAATTTGGCTTTTGTTCCCACGAGGTGCCAAACTTGTAAAAACTATAGCTCAAGCGTAATCCTATTTCTCGATTAGTTTCAATCTATATATATATATATATATATATATATATATATGTCGACGTAGTGGTGTTTGACCTCCTAAAGTATCTCATAATTCACTATTGAGTTATATTACATGGACTCGGCTACGTGTGTCGGATACGAGTAAGTATCCATGTGTTGGACGTGTCAAATCTCTAAACCGAAGGACACGTGGACATTGCTAAATATTCATTTTATTTGGTTAGTTTATTTTATTTTCTACAGTAAAGTTTTTATCTAATATAGTGTTCAATATAGGCTTAAAAATTATAATAATATAATATAATTGAATGATTCGATATGCTTTTTAGGTACATGTTCAACCAAAAGTGTTTGACACATATCCCATACCCATGTTCGAGCAATATATGTTTGACACGGGTATTTCACTACTTTTGAAGAATCCATGTAATATAGCTACTGAGTACGTATCTATATTTTTTATCAAATGAATTTTGTTGTACAAATCTTCATTCTGCACGCTATATTGGAGTAACTAGATTTCAATGCACAATAATCCACCCGTATTTTAGGTGAGTTGCATAGATTTTTGTATAATATTTAGTCAGGGTGCATATCGATTAAACTCGGGTCAAGCTTTGGTACCTTCACTCCTTGTGCCAAAGAGGGGGATAAGGATTGATTCATTAAGAACCCACAAGTAACCGTCTACGCTTAAAAGCGATTAAGTTTGAATTGGCTTTAGTTTAGTGTCTCCTATGTATATATATATATATATATATATATATATATAATATAAATTTATAACTTTAATGTTTCGTTTGGTTGAAGGGATGAAAAAATAGATGGAAGGGATAGGGGAAGGGATGGATGAGGTATCCTTAGGGAATGGAAGGTGTCTCTCCCACTTTTTGTTTGGTTGAATAGAATGGATAGTAGAAATGATGGATGGGGTAACACATTTTTTTTGTTTGATTGGAAGGAAGGGAAATAGGATTTTTATATTCTTTTTACTAATATGCCCTCAGCATTTAAAAATTTAAAAATTCTATATCTATCCCAAATTTTTAAGAAGGTTAAAAATGAAAAATTGATATTTGTGTTAGTTATTATTTCTTTCTCTCTCCTCTTCCTCCCAATTTTGGACGGATAGAGAAATACAAAGGAAGAAGGAATGAAGCATCCCTCCTTGCTTCCTCCCGCTTTTCCCTTTCCTCCAACCAAACACAAAAAAGTTAGTTTACCCCCCTCATCCATCCCTCCTCAATCCTTCCCTCCAACCAAACATAGCATAAGTCATTTATTATCTTTCGTAAGGAAGGTTGTTGCATGACGTATTGAAATATATATATATAATTTAAAGTCATTTATTATCTGCATATAAATTTATAACTTTAAGTCATTTATTATCTTTTGTAAGGTTGTTACACGACGGATTGAAATATATATATATATATATATATATATATATATATATAAAATTTTAAGTCATTTATTATATGCATATAAATTTATAACTTTAAGTCATTTATTAAATTTTGTAAGGAAGGTTGTTGCACAATGTCAATGCATCATTGTAATAATTTTTTAGTGATTACGAAAGTCCAGTGTAGGATTGCACAGTTGTTACACGACTTATTGCTTTAATTTATTTATTATTTAATTATGCATTCAGATTTATGTTACATTCTCATATGATTGACTAATAATATTTTTTTCTTCCATTTTTCTATTGGGACAGATAGTGACTTTATGAGGTGGTGTTTAAGAAGCTTCGAGTAGGCTTTAAAAAACTCCCTAAGATTTTTAAACTCCGCCTCATAAAGTCACTGCCTGTTCCAATAAGGGCAAGTCTGGGATTTTAAAATTGAACCTGAATCGGGTTCACACGGGTTCATGTTTTTGTTTATTGTGGCCCGTATTATGTAAAAATATTACCATTTTACCCCATATTAGGGCTGTAAATGAACCATAAGTTCGACAAATAGCTCGAGCTCAGCTCGTGTTCTTTTGTTTAGTAAACGAACCAAACTCAAACCATTTTTCTAAGCTTGTTTTGTAAACAAACCAATCTCAAACAACTATGAGCTCGGTTCGTTTGTTCGTGGACAGGGTCATAATCAAAGCTTGTTAGAGCTCGATTATATATATATAAAATATAATATAATATAATATAATATTTCTTGCATTACATATAGAGTTGGCTTCCCAACTCCCAATCACGCTCCTCACAACATTTAATAATACAAATAAAAAATACTGCTCTAGAGACTTCCATTTTACTACTTTTCAAGGTGTAGTAAGACACTACAGATTTCAATGTGACTTTCCTTCTTCTTCTGAATTTTCCTTTAATTTTCTCTCCCTCTCACACTTCTCTCAAATTTTCAAAGGCTTGTAGTCTCTTGAATTCACAGGCAACAACGAGTAGGGTGACCTTCTTCTGACAAGTTTCTCTCTCCTTTCTCTCTCTAAATCTCTCATTCAACAGTTTATATCACTTCCTCTCTTATCTATCAATATTAATTTAGTATAAGGTAATGGAAATAGTTTTTTGAAGTTGCAGGAATTTTTTGTTTTTATTTGTTGGTGAAGGATTGGATTAACTAATTAAAAAGGTGTTTGAGAAGATTGAAGTTGCAGCAAATTTTTTTTGGATAGTTTTCTTATTTTAATGTAAAAGAAATTTGTAATAATATACTGTTATAAACATTTGTCAATGAAAATTTCTGAGTTACTTTTTTTATTATGCTTCACAATATCATATGGTTCTTCTCTATCTATGATTTATCAGAAAGCAGATTTAACTCAATAGATAGCAAGCTTAATAACGAGCTCGAGCATGATAACAAGCTCAAGCTTGAGCTCGGCTCATTAAAATAAACGAGCTAAGCGAGCCGAGCTCAATCTTGTTCCTCTAAAGTTGAGCCGAGCTCAAACAACCTTGTAAAATGGCCGAGCCGAGCTCGAACAGCCCATGGATCGGCTCGGCTCATTTACAGCCAAACCCTTTTTTTTTTTTGATAAATCATTTACAGCCATACCCTTATAGCAAAATTATCCTTTTTACCCTTGTTCTTACTATATATACGTTAGAAACCTAGGATTCCTCACTCCTCATATCACCCACCACCTCTCACCTTACCCCTACTTTGTTACTCATTGCCCACTTGATCCGACGATCTTCGATGACCAAGGGATCGATGGTTATTTCTCTTTGACGATCGCCTGCTCAATGCCCGCTTAGTATGTACCCTCTATCTCTACGTTCTATATCTTTCTCTGTCTTCTTAATTTGTGTCTCAGGTGCCGTGTTTTGCTCCTATATATACATATATATTTCCGAATTAGCATGAGTTTGAAGTTGCATGTGATCTTATTATAGAACACTCATTTGGATTTTTTCTTGATTTGATGCTTGAAAGCCGAAGTTCAGTGCGAGTGTGTTTTGTTATACGAGACTTATTTTGGGCCTATTTGGTTCAATTTTTTAAAAATAGTCATCAAGAAATCATATAAAAAAAAAAATCGTTTTCAGAGAACTATAAAATAGAGTTTTCTGAAAACAAATCTTTTTTAAAAATAAAATATATATATATATTTGGGTTTTCAAAAAACAGTTTTTAGAAATTGTCAACCAAACAAAATTTTGTATAGTTTTATAATTTTAAATTCTCATGAAAAAAAAAAAAAAAAAAATTATTCAGTAAAATTAACCACACAAACCAATTATATATTTTTTTATAAGTAAAGATTGTATAAAAGAAACATTCAAACAAATCATTTCTCTCGCTCTCCTTCCATCCTAGGTCAAAATAGGTATGCTGCACTTTTCATGTTTAGCGGGGCAAGGTACGATTTACCTGTTAAAGGAAACATGTCCTAAACCTGGCTTGTTGCCATTCCTAACTACAAATCCTAATTAAATAGATCCATGTATATTGTATACTAAACTTGGATTGGACTCAAATAATCTTCAGGTGAACACAAGGCAACTGAGTGCACAATGCTCCCGCTTTTAAGGGGTTTAGAGATGATGAGATGTATGCCACCATACCTTCGCATGCGAAAAGGCTGTTTCTCGTTTCAAACTCGTGATCTCCGGGTCAAAATAATGCAACTTTACTGTTAGGCCAAGGTCCACTCTCAGGTACACTCGATGATTCATTATATTTATCTCAATATATTGAGAACATGATAGGTACTAATAAATGTTTTAAGGATCATTAGACAACGGTCATTATATACTTCAATGTAATAATCTTTTAATGATTATTAGACAATGGGGGTATTTGTAAGATTTAATGAAAGTTCAAGGGGCTTTTTTGAAAATTACTAGTAAGGTTAATATGCAAAAAGTGAACATTCATATTAATTGAGAAATACTCCCTCCGTCTCACAAAAAATGTCCATTTTTAGCTGTCCCAAAAAAATTTATTTATTTTTTTGATAAATTTTTTAGTTGTCCTAAAATAAATGTCTCAATTGAAAAGTCAATGTACTTTTTTTTTTTTTTTTTTGTAATATTATTAATTTAACCTTCTTGCATTGAATTTATAAAAAGTCAACCATTACATCATTGTGGAACCAGTATGGGTAAATTGGTAATTCACTTACTACCAATACAATAGAAAAAAAACACTAAAAGTCATCACCTTTAAAAGTTAGATTCGCGAAAAGGGACACTTTTTTTTTTTTTGGGACGGTGGGAGTAATATTTACAATACATTTTTCAATATTTGCACTCCACTCTTTAGCAAAATAAAATGACACCATTGTCCTTTTAACAACATTTTCACAATCCATAGTTATCAAAAAAAAAAAAACATTATTACTTCCCCTTTTCAGGGATAATTTTGTCACTTTAATAAGATTGTCAAAATCTCATCCCACTAATTAATGAAAGTAGTTTGTAAGTGTGCACATTAATACGTATATAATAAATATATAATTATTGGCATATTCGTACATTCCTATTTTATTTGCACTTCAATTTTAAAATAAAATGACACAAATGCCCCTAACTTATAAATACTGCTTCAAAAATTATTAGGTTCTTTTGTCTTGTAAATAATAATAAGGCCATAATTATATATTCATAATATCACATATTTACAATTATAACTGTTATTAAGTCTTTGTCATTTAGATAATAAGACCAAATATATATACACACACACACACACAATGTCACATATATAAATTATATACACACAGACACACACATATATATATATATATGGACACACTGTTATAAAGCCGTCTCAAAAGAGAGAGTTTCTCACATAGACACTGCCACAACACGTGACGAAGCTAACGGGTACAGACCTGACACTTTTCTTTCTCTCTGCTTCTCTTCGCGCTCTGAATTTGTTTCTTTCTCACTTTCTGTCTATCCCTTTCGTACACTTTTGTTGCTCTCTTCTATAATACAACAACACTAATTTGTTATTTTATTAACCACTCGTCCCTGTTTTGGCCTTTTTTAGTTCGTTTTAGTAACTCAACCTCTTCTCACTTCTCTCTCACTTTCTCTATAACCATCTCTCTCTCTCTGAGGAACTGAACAGTGCATTTCAGTATCAGCTTTAGAATAACAAAAGGGTAAGGAAAACAGTTTTAGAATTTTCCATCTCTGATTCGAGGATTATATTGTAATAATCTCTGTTTGTTAATTGTTAATATAATTTAATACTTGAAGAAAACACCCCTACACTATTGATATAGTGCATATAACCCCTCGTGCGTTAAAAACACCCTCCAAGTTATAAATTTGTGAAAATAAGGACCTTGCTGCTTAAAAAGTCTATAATGATCTCATATCAGTGGAATTAAATAATATATATATAAGAGGGAGTAAAATTTCCCTTTTGGATTTAATGGATATTCTTCCTCATGTGTAGAATGCCAACATCAGTAAAGAAAACTCTCTTTTGGGGGGTTTGAGAAAATTGGTTATATTCTGGATGGTGCATCAAAGGGATCAGGTATCCTATTTATCACATTCCAACTAAAGGAAATGCGAAGGACTTGTCAAAATGCTTCCTCACTTACCATACATTGTCCTCTTTCCAAGGTATGGTCATCTATCATTCTGTTCCATACTTCAATTCAGGCTAAATCATCTGTTGTTTCTTTCATGGATAAAAGTTTGTGCGTAGTAATGAAGGTAAATCCCATTTAAATTCAAATATATCTTTTTATCGAGGAAAGTATAGCCGGAAAGAAATATGAGTGATTGACACTCTCGTTTTCTATGAAAGATCTTTCATTCTTTTGGTTTTAAGAAAATGTCGGAAAGCTGTTTGGGTTTGATTAATATTGATTTCTGTTATAAAATTAAATGCAGATAAGAATGTTTTCTTGCAGTCTCATTTCCTAGAATGCTGCTGTTGTTTGCAGCACATATCTTGTGGTTGAAATGCAATGTCATTTATTTTGCATATTCTGCAAAATATAATTTGGTGGTCTCTAATTAATTAGAACACCTAAATATGCTCGTATGTGCATGAAAAAAAACCACATTGGCATATCCAATATAGTACGCATCACTTACTGCACTCCTTAAATATTTGATTTGTTTTACACACGACAGTCTAAAATTTCACGTTCTTCATAAATTGATATATTCATTAAGGGAAGTTTATGGCAGGAACCTTTTGAATCTTAGGTGCATATTTTGTTCACTTTTCAAGTTTTTGGACTTCTCAAAAAAATTTAAGTTTGGCTTTCTTCATCTTACTAAAATTGATTCTATTGGATTTATATGATGAAAAATGTCTTTGTTCAATCTCAAATCTTTAACTTAGTAGGGTAATAATTGCAAGACATCCATTGTTGGTTGATTTCTGTGGTTGACACTGTTTGGTAGGAGGGAAGGAAGAGGTAGACAGGGAGGGGATCGGATAGGGGAGGGGGGAGGGCAAGGTTGTGGCATGCTTTTATTTCTCGAAAAGGGGACAGGGGGTGCAAAACGACAGGAACATGGATGTGGCACCCCTGTGGATCCACCATTATTTAGTTCTGTTCCAAATTTGACAGAAGGGATGAGGGGAAGGAAGAATATTTATTGTAGGAAAAGAAAATAGAATGGACATCATTATCCTCATTTATTAACTCTGGCATATCAGAAACATTAGTTTAGATTCTGCAAGGTGCAGTGGTACAGTAAAAAACAAAGGCCTCTTCTTTCCTTCTCTCCTCACACCATACAACAGAAGGCTCTACTTTCTCTTTCCTTCCACCCAACAAAAAAAAAGGTCGTAAGGAAGGAGTGAAGGACACCTTCCATTCCTTTGGAGACGTCTACTCAAAGTTTACATCTTTCCATTTCCATCCTCTTTTCTAGCCCTCCTACCAAATGGATCATAAATCTCTCTGCTTTTTAGTATTGCCAAACCTGCATATTTCAGCAAGTTTTTCTTGCCCTTAGCTATATCATTTGAGGTTTCAATGAACTATCTAAGCCAAAAACAATAAAAAGTTACGAAAACTATGTTATCTAGCTGTTTAAGACGGATCTGATCATTGTGTTTATATTTCTTCCCTTTTGACATGAATTTCACTGTGATTGACACTCTTTTCTTTCTGAAGCTTGTATATTGATTGTTAGATGTCTTTTTCCTATATGCGGTTATCAACTTTTATATTTATTTTGTCACTTAGGATGCCATTTTGAGCTTCATTATTATCTTAATGCCTCCCTGTTCTTATGTGATCTTCTAATTGGAAAGCGAATGTCAATTATATATCCATGCACAATAAGTAACTCAATGACTAATATTTAATAGGAGACCTCTAAGGCCAGTTTCTAGTCTCAGAGCAGTACTATCACACATGCAGCAGAGATGGTTGAGCGAAGGAGTGTAGGTTAAGTTGTGTAATCTTACAGTGATGGTGGAAGCCTGAAGGGACTCATGAAACTTTCACTTTAACATCATAGTTATTGGCAGACATGTACAAACGCTCAAATGAAAACTCTCAGTCGTCTTAGTGTTTTGGGTTTGCCTGCAGACGATTCAACTCACCAAAACTTTGGTTTGACTCAACTTGCATAGTGATGTTTATCCATCTTTCGTTTTTCGGTTCCAGTTAGGGTTTTGGAAAATTTCCAGAATATTCTTTTAGTGAATGCTGGAAAGGAATTTGGTAATGCAGTCAAAATTCTTCCCTTTCCGAGTCAATATATATGAGGAAATATTATTCATGAATCCATTGATTAACGATAATAGCATGTGTAGCCAAATAGTTGTAATCATCGACTGCATTTCCCTACTAAGGACTTGCCATTGTGTTTCTGGTTTGATTGATACCGCAGATGCTGCATTTGAGAATTATGACGACGTTGGAAAAGACGTTCCTTGTTCTGGAGTTTCCCTACTAAAGATGGAAGGGGATCTTTGGAAGAAGCCCGACACATCCGATCATGAAAGGCTGATGTATCTTCATAGTGCTGCTGATTTCTGGCTGAAGCAACTCAGTGTCCAGATAGTTACGAAGTAACAACAGTTCAATCCATAGAGTATATATGTATCTTTTATAATTCCTTTTCTGTCATATGCTGGCTTAATTGTTAGTTTACAGGCTCTATGCCGTACTTCAGCGGTGTATGTGAGATAATTAATAATTCAGTCGTATCAATTGTTAATAACATTGTAAGGAGGGATTATTTGTGCACAAAACTTATATTAAGATAAATTGTTTTCTGCACTTAACCCTAATTCTTAAATTGTTTTCTGCACTTAACCCTAATATCTAATTCTTAATATAATCTGAACTTATAACTTAAAAAATTAAGATAAAACAACTTAAATAAAAAAGTGGAAGAAATTAAGGCTACGTTAGTAAAATATTCTTTTAAAAAAATATTTTTTTATTTTTATTTTGTCGGTATTTTGGCAAAAGTTTACATCGAGATTGAGGTCAATTCCATTAGGGGCACATTTGTTGAAAATTTATAGATAAATTATTTTTGTTAAATTTTAATTTTTTTTTTCTTTGTAAATGTTTTACAACAGCTAAACACCAGAAAATAAAAAAAAATATTTTTTGAAAAATATTTTACAGAGCCTAATATGAAAATGCAAATAAAAGGAGACACAGACAGAGAAAGACCACTTATTTTTCTCTGGAATTATTAATATAGATAATAAACATATTTATTCGTGGGTTATAATCTAATATACAAGTCAAAATACGAGACATCCGTTTAGGTAAATTAGGCAAATAACAAAAATCAAATGGTTACCATATTCGCTTTCATTCATTTATCATCACCAAAACTCTCTCTGTGTAGGTCATTAATTTAGTACGAGCTTTGCATAACACTATCTAATTGCATTCTTAACTATTATTATTATTATTATTATTATTTATCTCAGTATCTTAAATGAACTAGGAGTATCACAGTTACTTAAGTCTTAAGCCAAGTAGGATCTGAATAATATGATAAATTGTAAATCATAACCAAAAGCAAATCCTACTTTGACCCTGATTAAAAAAACAAGGTAAGAAATCAGCTATATATATATATATATATATATATATATATATACGTACACATAATCTCCTACTTTCCTACTTTGAAAACGAGGAGCTAGGATGTCACGTCTGGAAGACATATTGGGATGGGAGGTTTATGCAATGATATGTGATTTAGATGACAATAATGTCACAGTTCGAAATCGGGATCGTGAAGAAGAGAAGATATTTTTTGTGTTCGGTAAATATGATGAAGAGAAGTTGGTCATCAAAGAGCTCGAAAGGTTTAATGAACCTCCGGTGCTCCAACTAACAGAAAAGGTGGAGGTGGAGGAGGAAAAAGCCAATGGCTATGAAGCTGATGATGAGCATGTCGACTCAGAGACGTCTGTGGCTGCTGATAGAGGAGGAGAGAAAAAAATGGTTGATGATCATGAATATGAACAAATTTTTTATTTGTTCGGTAAATACGAAAAAGACAAGTTGGTAACTTACGAACAACAAAGTTTTTACGGAAGAAACAACACTGCAACTAACAGAAGAGGCCGATGAAGACAATGGCAATTAATGAAGCTTAGAATAATAGATTTTCCAAGAAAATTTTCAGATAGAGATAGTTCTGCCAAAAAAAACATTATTGGATAGATGATGTAGGATATAATTATGAAGAGTTCGATAAGTCTGTTTTCGAAAAACCAATAGTGTTTTTTTGGATGGAACGAGGCATTGAGAAAAACCCTGCTTGTGGGCTCTAAAATCACATTTTATTGAGGCTTGTGAATTATTTCAGGGCCTTAATGAACTCGGATTACTCTAAAATTTTAGATTTTGTATTTTTTTTATGTTTTAGGCTTGTGAATTATTTCAGGGCCTTTGCTATTTGGTTTTTTTATGTTTTAGTTTCCTTTTAGTGTTAAGTTTTCTCTATTATAAATATTCATGTGTTGCAGGAACAAAATTCAACCTTTTATCAATAATATTTTTGAATTTTTTTATGAATTTATCACTTGTTTTGTGGATTTAAAATAATCCGTTTCTTGTGAATGTTTATCATCTTAGTAAAAATTTAAGTGCTCGTAGTAATTTTAGTCTAGTTATGGTGTTTGAATGGTTGTCTCTCTTTTTATTCTATTCGATCCATTATATTCTTCTTAATTTTCTTAGAGATTGTTAAACAATGAATTCTTTAAGGCTGTCTTTGGCAGCATAAAATTGAAATATTGGAATTAAAATTGGAATTGGAGAAAATTTTAGTTTAATTTTCTCCAATTATTTTTATCCAGTTCCATATCTGCCAAAATTTTCTCCAATTGTTTTTATCCAGTTCCATATCTACCAAACATAATTAAATTTATTGATATTAAGATGTGTTATTGCAATGTGGAATTTGAAATTGGGCACAAGTTGATTCAGTCGAAAATCTTGGTTCTATAGGAAATCTAAGAAGTTGATATGATAGTTTTTATAAATTATGTAATTTGAGTTAGGGTTTAAATTAGACATCAATTTTTGAAACATACTTTGTGGTGGCAGGAGAGTTTTCTTATCACAAGGTCTCTATTTTAACTAATGAAATAAAAAATGCATTAAATAATTTATTTGAATTTTTATAAATTAAAAAGATAAACTTTCTCAATTTAATAGTTAAATATAAAGAGTTCATGACTCTTATCACATGAGAGAGAGTTCTCTTCTTAATTCTTTGTTTTTAGATTTACTAGCTAGGTGCTTTAGTTGGGAATAAATTCAAAGTACAATGACAAAGTAACTATTGAGTGAAACATAGTGTGTATGTCAAACATTAAAAGTTTATTTTTCTTTAATGTTTGTTTTTGGTAATTTTGTGTATTTTTGAAAAGTGAAAGTAAAATAAAAGGAAGAGAATGAAAGGAAAACCAAAAAAAAAATTCATTATGTAATTGAATATTAGCAGGAAATTTTTCAAGAAAATTTTTAAAATTTAGAATTTTATGACTTGAATAGCAGGATACTTATTATAAAAGAAAGGATTTTATTGTAACTTCATAAAACTTTATCATGAATAATAAAACAAAATTCTGTATTTTTCTAATGAAAATTTTATGGAAAAGTTGTTTAAAATTTTATTTTTCTTACCAGCCAAACTTGTAGTATTCATGAAATTTTTTTTTTTTATTTTCTTGTTGGTAGGAGGGGATAGAAAAATGGATTGGAAAACGAGGAGAGAGTTTTTTTGGTTGGATAGGAGGAATAAAGAAAATATTGAATAATGTGACACTTTATTTTGTTGAATTAAAATAAAGAATTTAGAGTTTTTTTTTATTTTTTTATTTTTTTTATTTTTATTATATATATATATATATAATTTTATAAATAATTAAAACAATTCTCTTCCATCCTTCATCGTCCTTCCAACCAAACATAGAGTTTTCCCACAGCTCTCTCTCTCTCTCTTTGGTCTCCATATCTTTGGCATGAATGTGGCCCATAGCATCACTCTTTAGTTTTTTAACGAACATTACCTATTTTCTTTCCTTTCATTCCACCGCATGCTCGGTCTCTCCCTCACTGAATTAGCAGTGTATAATGCGGAAACAAGGAAATAATGCAAAGATGTGGCCAGCTGAAGTTGACAAGACCGCTCTATCAATGGAACCTCATGCTTCGATCGTCCACCGAAGATGGCTTCTTCACGGAGACACTGAAAATTTACTCGTCAATGGCCAAGTCCGGTGTTCATGGCTCCAATTTCACCTTCCCTCCGGTTCTCAAGTCCTGCGCTAAACTCTGCTTCATACGAGAAGGCGAAATGGTCCATTCCTCTGTACTCCGCATGGGTTTTCAGGCCGATGTCTTCGTGCAAACCGCTCTGATCGACATGTACTCAAAATGCTCCGACTTGGTGTCTTCCCATAAAGTGTTCGATGAAATGCCTGTGAGAAGCTTGGTCTCTTGGAATTCCATGATTTCCGCCTGTTGTCGTCATTCTCGTGTAAATGAATCATTTGGGTTATTGAAACAAATGCAGTTTCTAGGGTTTGAACCCAGCTCCGCCACGTTTGTAAGCATTGTGTCATGTTGCTCGCTTGGACAAGGCTTGTCAATTCACTCCTACGCAATTAAACTTGGACTTCACTCCGAGTTACCACTGTCGAATTCGCTTATGAGTATGTATGTCCATTTGGGTCAAGTTAAAGATGCTCGTAGTATTTTTAATTTGATGTGTGAGAGATCAATCATATCTTGGACAACCATACTTGGTGGGTATGTAACCGTTGGGGATGTTGCCCAAGTGTTTGATATGTTTAACCAAATGCGACAAGTAAGTGTAAGCCTGGATCATATCGTATTCTTAAACCTTGTTTCGGGCTGTGTACAATTGAGAAATTTGTTACTAGCTTCATCAGTTTACTGTGTCATACTCAAAAGTGGATGTGACTGTGAAGATCCAATTGATAACTTGCTCGTAACCATGTTTTCAAAATGTGGTGACCTTGTGTCTGCTCGAAAGATATTTGATATGGTACATGAAAAAAACGTGCTTGTGTGGACATCACTGATTAGTGGGTATACTCATTTTGGTAAGCCTCATGAAGCAGTAGAGCTCTTCAAGAAATTGTTGGGAACAACTGTTAGACCAAATGAAATTACAGTGGCTACCGTACTCTCAGCTTGTGCTGATATAGGGTCACTGAGCATGGGTGAAGAGATTGAAGAGTATATTTTGAGGAGTGGGTTACAATCAGATTTGCGGATTCAGACCTCATTAATACACATGTTCTGCAAATGTGGAAGCATAAAGAGGGCAAAAGAAGTGTTCGAAAGGGTGTCGGAAAAAGACTTAGCTGTTTGGAGTTCCATGATAAATGGTTATGCCATTCATGGGATGGGAGAAGAGGCTCTCAGCCTCTTTCATAAGATGCAACTTGAAGAAGAAATTAAACCGGATGCTATGATGTACACAAGCGTATTATTGGCTTGCAACCACTCAGGCTTGGTGGAAGATGGACTCCAGCATTTTGAAAGCATGCAGAGAGAATTCGGAATAGAACCCAGCATAGAACATTATTTGTGCATGGTAGATCTTCTTGGCCGAGCTGGTTGCCTAGACTTGGCTATGAAAACCATTCAGGAGATGCCTGCCGAAGTACAACCTCGAGTTTGGGCTCCATTTCTCAGTGCATGCAGAACGCATAAAAACATGGAGCTAGGGGAGTTTGCAGCTCAGAAGTTGTTGGATATGAAGTCTGCAAGTACTGGAAGTTATGTATTAATGTCTAATTTTTATACATCCGTGGGGAAGTGGAAAGAGGCAGCTGTCACCCGAAGGTTAATAAATGAACTAGGATTGGTGAAAGAACCTGGTTGGAGCCAAATTGAGGTAAATGGTTCCTTCCATGTCTTTATTGCAGGAGACCGATCTCACCATCGGTCGGTGGATATCTATGCGAAGCTAGAGGAGCTAAATATTAAGCTCATGGAAGCTGGATATATTGCAGAAACAGATTTGGTGGTTCAAGACCTGGAAAAGGAAGAGAAGGTTGAAGCTCTTAAGGTTCACAGTGAGAGATTGGCTATTGCATTTGGGCTCATTAATACTGAAGCAGGTGCTACTCTGACGATAATAAAGAACCTGCGAACTTGTGATGATTGTCACACTGCTTTGAAGTTCATCTCAAAAATTACATGCAGGCATCTTATTGTGAGAGATGGACAGCGCTTTCACCATTTTGAGTCTGGTTTGTGTTCATGCAAGGATTACTGGTGATTATGTTCCCAAAATCTGTAGCAAAGTGTAGGTACAGAGTGATCTCTGACCCTTATTTCATCTATTCTATCTCCTTCATGAGCTCGCAGAGTCGACTATGAGGGAAGTAATCCTTCTCCAAGGGAAGGTTACGTATTCATCAAATAGGCTTTCCCCCTGCACCCCTGCTTGATGGGTGATGCTCAACAAAGATAGTTGATCAGTAGCCAATCCAGGTGGGGCTGGTGAGGTTTACTTCAAGGTGACTTGGGGAAATAGTTGCGGGCTTTGTTTATAAATTTGGGAATCTGCATAAATTTTGGTAGGGCTGGTTTGGAATGGAAGTTCCAGGAAAATCATTGTGGATTCCTACTATACTGAACCCATCTCTTCTCTGACGTCAAACATGTCAACACATCTATACGATGCTAAGCTCATCAAGAATGTCACAACCTGTAGTCATGCCAAATCAAGCACAATTATCATAATGCGATCTTTGGTACAGATTAGCTGGCAAATTACAAAGATCCCATTATGATAATTGTGCTTGATTTTTAAGAGGTTTCGTTATCTTCACTTCCCCTCGCTCCTGGTATCCTAAAACCTCTTAAAAATTCTACTTGACAAGGACTGTTTTTGTAGCTTCGCTCCTCTGTGCATGTACACACATACAAAAATGAAAGGGAATTTTCATGCTTGAAAGGACTATTTTTTCACGCTGCTAACCACTCTCTCTCTATCAACTATAATGGAGTCCAAACAGAGGAAGAGCCTTTGCTTTGAAGATATCTCTTGCTATATGCATTTTGAAGAAGCAGTGAAATGTCCATGAAGAGAAACATAGCAATTACCCCGATTAGGTGAAACTGTCACACTGCTCTGTCGATTTCTTGTTCTTCAGTTGCTCACATAATTTCAACTTCTCTTATTCCTCTTCCGTTTTTGTTCAGGTTGTTCTCACGTTCACATTTTCCACTCCCAACAGTTAGGTGAAGTTTGCATATACCAGGTTCAAAACTAAAAACTTTATTAAGATAATAATGTCATATTTTTGCTTGGGAGTTTCAAAAAGAAATGCTTTAGTAACTGCTTTAACATTTGCAGGTGTTCTCAAAGTTTGTTGGTGACAATTGCAGCTTTGATGGGGCAAAGACATCCATTACAGAATGTTAACCTCGACTGATACTCCCAGTTGGTGTAAAAATTAGTAAGAAACTGATTGAAGAATTTGAAGGCAAATGCGTAGCAAATGTCGTTGATTAATTATTTTCATATAAGACTAAATTTGTGTATGGATGACGTTATTTTTGGAACATTGTTGAACTAAATACTATCTTTTTCATTTCGGTGATAATAAATGGAGCAATGTGTACTCATGGATCAATGTGTGTGTGTGTGTGTTTCTTTCAAAGTTTAAAGCATAAGATAGGTCCAATATAAATCTATGGAATCTTATTATTTAGCATTACGCCTTAAAAAGTGCTTGTTTAGACGTTGCTGGGGCTATGATATAATTGTCGTGAACAGAAGAAAATCAATTTAATATTCATTACATCTATTGAGCATGATTGGTTTATTTGTTCCATTGATTATTTATTGGGTATGAAACCATGAAAGATCTTTGAAATTTGCTCTCAAGTTTCGAATGGGAGGGTGTGTCATTTAATTTTTTTCTCTCAAATATTTTCCTTTTCTTAACTCTTTATTATGTTTGGCCTTATCAAGCCAACACAATATTCTTCAATGGTGGCGATCTTGGTGGGACTGAGATGTGCATCTTTCAAATGTATTTCAAACAGTGCTCCAACACCATAAAGTTCAACTTGAGTTGGTGGGGTTGGTTTAAGATTTGTATTGGTCAGGTTAGGCTCGGATCAGACACGGTTTAAGTTTAGGTTAGACTAAAGTGGCTATTGTTTTCTTAATAATATTACTAGTAATAATATGTCCATTGTGGATGTGCTCATTATCAAAGCCCTATGGCCTAATGATATCTCCTTATCTTTCAAAATAAAGAGTAGGTAAAGTTTGATGGCACCGAATCTGCACCTTGAATTTCGGTGCTCCCAAACATAACATAAAAGTTAATTTGCCAGTGCGAAACAAAAGGAACTTGAAGAATCTATCCTATTACATTATGAATAATTATAATTACTTGATTCCAACCAACGCCCCAAGAGTGAGCAAAAGAAATCCGTATGAATAATTATTTGCTATTATCAAATAAAACAATGACCAACCATTAATGCGCATGCAAATAGTTTTCTAATGTACTTCCTTTTCAATATACAATGTGAAATACTACGTATATCACTTTATCGAATAAGTATCAATTCCCAATAGATATGTGCACCAAAGAATTTAGGACCCAAGAGAAAATGGGATTTGAGGACCCTTCAAGAGTTGGAATACTAATAGTACAAAATATTCTAGGTCTCGCATTTCCCTTTGTGATCTGATGTTGTGCGCTACAAATTCCATACAATTTCCAGTCTGCATTATGATTCCGTTTTAAGGTGCTCGCATCCTTTCAACAATGTTTCTGCCTCTCTCTTCAATGTTACGCCTCTTCTCGTCAAGCTTTTCCCCCATTTTCTTCCCCAAATCAAGCATCCTTGCTTTTCTCCCCACTCTCTTTGGCCTTGCATCAACTTCCTGATTCTCTGTGAAACTCATTGACCGAGATGATGATTGACTGCCATCTGAGTTCTCTTCTTTTCTCCACTGGAAAATGTCTTGCGGTTCATCATTCCTCAACAAAGGGGTACTCAGTTCTTGCATAGATTTGCTGTTGCAAACAGACTGATTGGATGGAACTGATGAAGATGCATGTTTGTCCGAAGACGCACGCTGGACAGGTTCGACTTTCTTTGCTTTTTCATGAACTGGTGAAGAAGATGCATGTTTGTCCAAAGATTCACCTTGGACACATTCAACTTTCTTTGCCTTTTCATGCTTGCCTTCTGATTCAGCAGGATCGGCAACAGCTTCTTGATTAATCCATATAAATGGAGCAACTTTCTTTGGAGCCCAGTCATCCTTTTCTGCTAACATCCATGGAATGCATACACTTTCACAATTTGGAAGTACAGCAGCGTCCCGAATGGCTGTCTGCATGAGTGACACTATAGCATCAGCAAAAGTTCCCTACTTCATTCCTGCTTATAAATTTTGCAAGTTTCTAGCAAAGGAAAGCATCAACAAACAGATCATATTTTAATATCATTCTTTATCAAAATGACTACCCAAAATCCTTACCGGAGAAGAAAACAGATAAATGAAAGGACTACCTAAAACTTTCTGAATTTTGGGTTCTGAACAGATGATTTTAAAATTGAGAGAGAGAGAGAGAGAGAGAGATCTACAGGTAAGAGCTAGAGGTACCCTCAACATTTTCCTTTCTCTAATCATAATTCCGGATAGACCTAAAATATCTCCCCTGAGTGAACATTAAAAAGTGGTTTTGGGATAAAAGTAATATTTATTACTGGGTGGAAAAATGTTACTTTAAATGTCAACATTGCAACCAGAATATGCATGGAACTCGTTACAAACCCAAGCAGCACATATTCTTCATGCATGGAACAAGGCCCAAAAGTAGGGATGTCATCGGGGCGGTTTCAGGATGGGGCCCTATTCCAAATCCGTCCCGCCAATGAAAATGGGTCGGGGCGCCCCGATATACATATTTTTCAAGAAAAACAATTCAAACTTGAACAAATTTAAGATAAATTTTTGAATTTTTTTTTTTTTTTTTTAGTATAGTCAAATATTAAACAACCAAAATAACAAAAATGTTGTTAAATTTTAAATTATCATAAGAAATAAAGAAAAAAAATATAGCTAATATAAGAATATTTATTTACATATTAATTATTAATCGGTGCGGGTTCGGGGCTTTGCGGGTTTTAAACTCTCTTCCCAAACCCGCCCCTAACCCTATTAGGATGATCCCAAACCCGTCCCAATAGGGGCGGGACAGGTTGAAATGACATCCCTACCCAAAAGGAAACTTCCACATGAGAATTTCCAAACATAAATTTATTACACTTTGGGAACATTGTTATATAACTTCTTTTCTTATTTTTTAACTTTTTTTTTCACATACAGAGTATAATTGTATTCTATATGTATTCCTTATATTTACGCAAAAAATACCCCTTTTCAGTTTTCAGAAATCCTCATAAAGATTGGGCTCTTTTTTCAATGAAGGGGTTAAATATGCATCCAAAACGGCTGATTCACAGCCCTCTCTCTCATGTATCAATCCCACCATAAGAGGTGGTGGATGCAGCCTTTTGGTTGCAGAAATAGCAATTTCCTTTTATAATACACACGCACGTGCGCGCACACACACACATATAAGAATGAGGCTTTAAATCAACTTTCTTAATACTCCCACAAGAGTAAACGTAACTGGAAAATATATGCAACAGAAGTACGTTATCTGACCTTAAACCGACTGATCAAAAATGAAGCAATACTTCCACTACTGATCTTGTGCTCCCCAACAGAAGACTCCAAGTTGAAATCAATATCAGGCATGGATGTGAACCCAAACCATATTTGATCAGAAGGAGGCGGCTGTATACGTAATTGGATTGTTCCTCGCAGGTATGCTACCCTTATTGCCAATGAGATAGGAACCTTCAATGAGAAAAAGAGAAATTAGTTTGAAAGGCATAAAAGCTCTGTTATTTTTCATGACAACTAAACCAAAAAACCAAAGCATGTCCACCTATATTGTCAAATTTAAATGATAAACATGATTAAAAAGTAAGGTTTCGGGACCCTCTGGCAAACACAAAGGAAAAGAACAATTCCACTTGCTTCATTACATATTTAATAAATAAATCTTGTTTTCTATATCATGCAACTTGGTAGTTAAGACTAATTCACAATTCTCATTCTTCTCCTTCATTTTCTCCTCCTAGGTAATTAGCATGGACTGAATTAACAATCACAGGGAAAAGTAATAAATAAAGCTATTGTTTTTTCTCACAAATTACGCTTTTTGATTTGTTAATTTAATCAGGACATTATATCAGAGTGCCTTCTATTTAATTCGAATCTTTCCTTGTCTTTCGGCAACCCTTACTAGGATACATCAATAGGCCATGAAAGAGAAACCTATACGCAATATTTTGTCCCACAGAAATGGCTTGTTAGCATGCATGAAACAATATTTGACTTTTTAATCCAGGCCTTTTGACTGAAAAATGTTATGTTGGCTCCTTCAAAGGCTTGAACACAAGACATCAAACCTTTTTTTTCCTCATCGTTAACGATTACAACACTTGATTTATATGTCAAGTATTGCAATTCTTATATATATATATATATATAGCTACTTCTTGATGCACATATATAGAGAAATATACTTATATATGCAAGTGCACAGGTGCTCTGAGATGCTGATGCCGCCTTACCAAGAGGATAAGGATAAATCATCTAAAGCAAGAAAGAAATAAACGAAGGAAAAGAATGCTAGAACAAGGAGGAAAACAAACAATCGTTGCTGCTAATCTATTAAAAATAAAATTAATCACCACCTCTCCGGTACCCTAGCCACCCTTTATATAAAGTCTCCTGGCAATTCTAGCCATAATTGGCTTTAATTACAATAAAGGAAAGTTACTAAAAATCAGAAAATGGGAAGTTTCAAAAAATTCAGAAAGCTGCCAGCAGATTTTTATTTTGCCACTGCATCAGTCCCTCCGGGTTGGAAATAACTCGACCTCGAGTTTGGCTCAAGTGGCTCATCGTATATTAGTATGAACAAGATTTCATACCAATGAAGACTTGATCTTTTTTCTTTTCTTTTTTTATAAGTAAAATTTTAAAAAGAAAGCGCTCAGAAGGGGAGCGAAACCCAAAGACAAACAAAAGGCCAAAACGCGCCTCAAGCTTCAAAGAGGCCAAAAAAAAACAATCTCCTCTACAGATCTATAATCTCTCCCTGAAACCCAAAAAAAAAGAGTGGAAATAATAGAAAACTAAAGCATAGAAGCAGGCTTCTCCTTTCCATCGAAATAATACCGATTTCTCTCGAACCAAATGCACCACCAAATACAAAGAGGTGTAGCCCTCCAAGCATGCTGAATGAGAGCCCCCATTGAGAAACCTCTCCAAGCCTCAATCAACCCTCTAGAGGAGCAAGGCATGACCCAAGGGATCCCAAACAAACCAAGCATTAAATCCCAATAGTCCCTAGGCATGCTGCAATGTAACAGAAGATGATCCACAGTCTCCTCGTCGCTCCGACACAAATAACAACGATTAACCACCACTTGATTCCTTCTTCTCAAATTATCCTGGGTTAGAATCTTACCCAAGACAGAGGTCCAAGCAAAGAATGCCACCTTGAGAGGAGACTTAGACTGCCAAATAGACTTCCAAGGGAAAGTACCTCCAGAGCCAAGCGTAAGACACCTGAAAAAGGACCGAACCTCGAAGCGGCCCTAAGAGTTAAGATCCCAAAACCAACAATCCGAATCCCCAGCTGTAATCACCTGGCGGTACAACAAATCCAAAAAGTGAGTGACCTCCTCAATTTCTTAGTCCTGAAAATGCCTCCTAAACTGAACATTCCAAGTCAGTCTCCCGTTATCAAAATAATAACAGTCAACCACCATGGCCTGTCTATGAGAAGCAATCCTGAAGAGCCGAAGGAAAGCAAGAGCAAGAGGACGCTCTCCACACCAAAGATCCTCCCAAAATATGATCCTCCTACCATCCTGAATCCGAAAACGAACATGTTTGCTGAACTCATCCCACCCCTTTCGGATGAGAGACCACACCCCCACCCCTCTAGGACCATGCACCTCAAGAGAACTCCACCCTCCAATGCTCTCCCCAAATTTGATCGCAATAACCCTCCTCCAAAGCCAACGCCACTCAACCCCAAACCTCCAAAGCCATTTCCCAAGAAGAGCCTTGTTGAAAGTCAGCAATCTCCTAATTCCTAAACCTCCACTCTGAATCGGATAACATACTTGATCCCAAAGAACCAAATGATACCCCCCACCAAAAAAAAAAAAAAAATTTGCACTGTAATCTCTTAATTCTCTCAACCGCAGAAGAAGGGATCTGAAAGAGAAAGATGAAATACGTGGGAAGGCATGAAAGGGTACTCTTAATCAAAGTGACCTGGCCCCCCTTGGAGAGGTATTGCTTCTTCTATCTCGCCAATCTCTTCTCAAATCTTTCCACAACTGGATCCCAGTTTCCCACACACCTTGAAGGAGCTCCCAAGGGCAACCCCAAGTAAGAAATGGGAAAAGAGCCAGTGCGACATCCAAGAATCTGAGCAAACATCTCGATTTCAGGGACCTCCCTAACCGGCACAAGAATGCTCTTTCCGACATTAACCTTTAGCCCAGAGACCACTTGGAACCAAATCAAAACGCATCTTAGATATCTCAACTGGGACGCATTCGCATCACAAAACACTAAAGTATCATCAGCGAACATCAAGTGGGAGATCTCCAACTGACTAGCAACATCCTTACCCACCCGAAAGCCTCTCAAAAAGCCCTACTCGACCGCCCTCTTAATCAATCTGCTAAGAGCCTCCATCACAAAAAGGAACAAGAAAGGAGAAAGAGGATCCCCTTGTCTTAATCCCCTCGAACTAAAGAAGAAACCCGTCGGAGCCCCATTCACAAGGACAGAGAAACGAGCACTGGAAATGCAAAAAATGATCCATTTCCTCCACCGTGCACCGAACCCCATCCTCTCCATCAAATAAAGAAAGAAACTCCAACTCACATGATTGTACGCCTTCTCAATGTCCAGCTTACACAGAACACCCGGATCTCCACTACACAACCTGGAATCCACACATTCACTAGCAATAAGAACTGACTCCAAAATCTGACGACCACCCACGAAGGCATTTTGAGAATCAGAAATGATACCAACCAAGACCTTCCTCAACCTAGAAGCCAGGACTTTAGCAATCAACTTGTAAAGACACCCCCACCAAACTGATAGGGCGAAAATCCCTAATATCCAGCGCCCTTCCCTTTTTCGGGCTGAGAACAATAAAAGTGGCATTCAGGCTCTTCTCAAAAGAGCCCTGAGCATAGAAAGCATGAAAAGAACCCATCACCTCCTCACGAACCACCTCCCAACACTCTAAAAGGAACCGCATGGAAAAACCATCTGGACCTGGGGCTTTGTCCCCGTTATAGCTCTTCAACGCAGACAAAACTTCCTCTTCAAAAAAGGGCTCCTCCAGAACAAAGCACTCCTCACTCGAAAGAGTGTCAAAATGAAGTCCTGCAAGCAAGGGTCTCCAACCAACAGATTTTGTAAACAACATCGAGTAAAAATCGACATTACCCTTACAAATCTCCTCCTCCTTACAAAACGTCACCCCATCCACCCGGATCCTCCCAATGTGATTGCCTCTTCTATGAGCATTGGCAAGTCTATGAAAAAACTTAGTGTTATTATCGCCCTCCTTAAGCCACAAGGCTCGAGAGTTTTGCCTCAACGAAATCTCCTCCATGACAGCAAGCTCAACAAACTCCGCCTGACACTCCACCCTCCTAAGTTTAAGGGAATCCGCCAATATGCCCTGACCCTCCATCTGATCAATCTCAGCAATCTCTGAAAAAACACGATTTTTCCTCCACACCAGATTACCTAAGTCCTCTTTGTTCCAGACTTAGATATCATTCTTCAAAAGACGAAATTTACAAGCAAGAGAATGACTTGGGGTGTCAACCACTCCATACCCAGCCCACCAAGATCGAACACGCTCCAGAAAACCCTCAGCCCTACGCCACATATTCTCAAATCTGAAAAGGGATCTTCTGCTACGCAAACCACCACAATCCAACATCAAAGGGACATGATCAGATATCGGACGAGCCAAAGTAGCCTGAACAACATCGGAGAACTTCTCCTCCCAATCACTTGACACAAGGAACCTGTTAAGACGAGAGAGGGTAGGAGGAGAACGACCACAAGACCAAGTAAATGGACCACCCACTAAAGGCAGATCAAACAACCCCGCCCCATCAATGAACTCCGAAAAAGACTCCATGTCAACCGTCCTTCTGCCCCCCGTTGACCTCTCAAAAGGAGAGTGAACAACATTGAAATCCCCTCCAATACACCAAGGCAACGGCCATCTCCTTCGAACCTCTCCCAACTCCGCCTATATTAGATCTCACACACTATCCTCTGGAAGACCATAAACCCCATAGAAAACCCAACGAAACCATCCTCCAACAAAGAGAGGACGCAGGAGGCAGAGAAAAGCCCCACCTGAGAGTCCCCGAAAGAGACCCACCGATTGTCCCACATAATCAGAATGCCACCCGAAAAACCAACCGCATCCAAAGCAAGCCACTCCACAACAAAAAAAAAAAAAAAAAAAAAGCTACGCACAATCAAGTCCGTCATCGATGCAATTTTGGTTTCTTGAAGGTAAACCACATGACCTCCCTCTTTACGAATCACCGACTTCACAACTCTTCTTCTAGCCGAGTCATTGAGACCCCAGACATTCCATGAAAGAATTCGTAGCTTCATAAGGAAACAGATGAAAAAGTAATCCCACTCCTCCTTCCACTCTTCCTCTCTCTGGACCCCCTATTCCTCCTCTCATAAGTAACAAAATCAGAGGGGCTCCG